CAGAGCTATTACACACCACAACACATTGACTATTGGGGTTAGGGGCTGGTCATTTTCTTTTCTGAAAGCCCCCCCCCCACGACAAGAACCTGCCACCTCTTCACTTCGCGTGAGCTTCTACTAAAAAGGACAATTTACCAACACCTTAAGAGTGCAGTTGCAGAGCGTGAACGGAGGGGAGCGGGGCAGGGCGGGCCTGGCTTTGGCGACCTACGAGGGGGTAATGCGACATAAACTTCCATTTTGTTATCAATGACAGACACTCACGGATGCAGAACTTTTATTATGCACATTAGAAAACGACAACATCGCATGACTTTTCGACAGAACCACCATTCAAAGGGAGGCCCTTGTCGTAACACTTTACAAGGTTTGAAATTCTTTAGTTGTCGCTCGGCGCCAGATCTGGGCTATGAGGTGTGTGTGTGTGATCAAAAACATCCCAGTGGAACCGCTTCGAAAGTCCTTGGGTGCGTCTAGCGTTAAAACGCCTTCCCAAAACCAAGTGTTCTGTCCCAAAGTTTATTTATTTATTTATTTATTTATTTATTAAAATTTATAAACCGCCCCACTCCCGCAGGACTCTGGGCAGCTAACAATAAAAACACAATATAACTTAACAAGACAAACAATACAGTAACATTCATCCAGGGGTCAGATTTTATAAACCCCAGGTAAGTTCCCATCTGCGTTTTGCATTAAAATGCTGGCTCAGGAATTCTGGGAGTTGAAGTCCACCAGTCATGAAGGGGCCATAGTTTCCCCATGCTGGCTCAGGAATTCTGGGAGTTGAAGTCCACAAGTCATGAGGAGACCATAGTTCCCCAATGCTGGCTGAGGAATTCTGGGAGTTGAAGTCCACGAGTCATGAGGGGGCCATAGTTCCCCCATGCTGGCTCAGGAATTCTGGGAGTTGAAGTCCACGAGTCATGAGGGGGCCATAGTTCCCCCATGCTGGCTCAGGAATTCTGGGAGTTGAAGTCCACGAGTCATAAAAGAGCCAAGGTGGCCTACCCCTGAACTAGACATACCCAATTCCAGCAACCGTTCTTTATCTCTGGACTTCGACTCCCAGAATTCCCCAACCAGCATTTTAATGCAAAACGCAGACGGGAACTTTGGGACAGAACACACGGTTTGGGGAAGGAGTTTTATTGCTTTACTCCCGCCCTCTGTGCTTTACGCAGGGTTTACGGTCTCTGGTGAAGTTTCTGTACCATCTCTGGGTCCAAGAGAAAAGATATCTGATTCTTTGAACCCAAAATGGAATGCCGTTCTTCCAGGCACTAATAATCAGACGCGCCTATAGAGAGGGGATCGTAGAAATCAAAGCTACAGAGGCAGGCGTGCAACACACTGAAAAAGGGGTGAGGTTTGCACAGCTGCCTCTGTAGCTTTGATTTCTTCCGTGACTGCTCTCCAGCTGTAGCCTCCAGCTGTTGCCTCAGAGCCCTCCCCGAGGGAGCTGTTGCTGAAGTAGAATTTCTGGAGGGTCACCAGTTCCCCAGCTGTATGTTAGTTAGTTCCAGCATCTTGGCAATTTTCTGTCTCTTGGGTAGCTGCTTCCAGTGGGTGGACTCTGCTTTCTTAAGATCGTGCCAGACAAATCTTATTGTGTTCTTTGACAAAATTAGTGGACCAGAGGAATGCTGTGGATATCATTTACTCGGACTTCACTAAGGCATTTGATAAAGTAGACCACAACCTACTACTCGATAAGATAGAAAAAAATGTGGGTTAGACAGCATCACCACCAGATGGATTCGTAGCTGGCTGACCGGCCGTACTCAGCGTGTAGTCCTCAATGGAACCGCATCAACATGGAGGGAAGTGTGTAGTGGGGTGCCCCAGGGCTCTGTTCTGGGCCCAGTGCTCTTCAACATCTTCATCAACAATTTGGACGAGGGGATAGATGGGGAACTCATCAAATTTGCAGACGACACCAAGCTGGCAGGAATAGTCAACATTCCAGAAGACAGGCTTAGGATACAGGAGGATCTGGACAGACTTGAACACTGGGCGCTATCTAACTAGAATAGAATAGAATAGAATAGAATAGAATAGAATAGAATAGAATAGAATAGAATAGAATAGAGAATAAGAATAGAATAGAATAGAATAGAATAGAATAGAATAGAATAGAATAGAATAGAATAGAATAGAATAGAATAGAATAGAATAGAATAGAATAGATAGAATAGAATAGGAATAGAATAGAATAGAATAGAATAGAATAGAATGGAATAGAATAGAATAGAATAAAAAATATGGAATGGAATAGAATAGAATAGGAATAGAATAGAATAGAATAGAATAGAATAGAATAGATTAGATTATAGAATGGAATGGAATGGAATAGAATAGAATGGAATAGAATAGAATAGAAAATATGGAATGGAATAGAAAAGAATAGATTGTAGAATGGAATGGAATAGAATAGAATAGAAAATATGGAATAGAATAGAATAGAATAGAATAGAATGTAGAATGGAATGGAATGGAATAGAATAGAATGGAATAGAATAGAAAATATGCAATGGAATAGAATAGAATAGAATAGAATAGAATAGAATAGAATAGAATAGAATAGAATAGAATGTGGAATGGAATGGAATAGAATAGAATGGAATAGAATAGAATAGAATAGAATAGAATAGAATAGAATAGAAAATATGGAATAGAATAGAATAGAACAGAATAGAAAATATGGGAATAGAACAGAACAGAACAGAACAGAACAGAATAGGAGTTGGAAGGGACAGAAATAGGTAGGTAGGTAGGTAGGTAGGTAGATAGATAGATAGGTAGATAGGTAGATATGATCAGTGATGGGATTCAAATATGTGAGCAACCGGTTCTCTGTGTGGATGCTGCTTCCGGAAGTCCGTTCTGGGCCTGGGCAACAAAAAATTAGCTACTGTTTCTGCTGAAGTGGTGCAAACCAGCTGAATCCCACCACTGAGAAGAAGGAATCTTGAGAGTTCACAAGGTTAATACCCTAATGGAACAAAACTGGGACTGAATCTGGACGTTCTGCTTCGGATACCACGGAGCCCCTCCTCCCAGAAGGGAACTGGGAAAAGAAGTCATGAAGAGGATGTGTAATGTCCCAGACAATCTTGCAGATAATCTCCTAAATCAGGGTTACTCAACCTTGGCCACGTCAAGACACACGGACTTCAACTCCCAGAATTCCAGAAGTTGTAGACCACGTGTCTTAAAAGTTGCCCAGGTTGCGAAAACGCTGTCCCAAATTGCAGTGGGCTTTCTGCCAGGCGTGAGTTTTCCTAGAAGCCCCAATTTCTCACTTTTATTGCTTCCGCACTTTTAGCAGATGCCTCTGGTGAACCGAGAGCTCCAGTTTAATTACATTAACATAATTTAGGACTCCCGTGCAGCAGAGCTGCCAGTTTCATCAGAAGTTCTACTGGCTTTTTCTCCCAGGATTAGCCATTCTCCCCAACAGATACCATCCACCCATCCCCATTTGGGGTTGCCAACTCTTCGAAGGCCATTTCTGCAGCAAATCATCCATCGCAGGAGTTTTGGCCAGAGAAAGTTGTCAAGGCAAGGCATGGAGGAATGGGGGAAAAAAATACATCTGAATACAATTTTTTTTTTCTGCAATAGATTCTCTTTTTCTCTCCAAGAAGTGAAGGAAAGATATACTGGGGAAGAGAGATGGAAGATTAACATTTTACCTTGTTACACAAATAGAAATAGATAGGAAACTCCGCGTTTTGCTCCTGCTTTGGGCATGAAAGCTGCCTGGGTGACTATGGGCCAATCACTAGGAGACGGTGAGTTCTAGTCCAGCCTTAGGGACAAAGGCTGGCTGGAAGACTTTGGGCCAATCACTAGGAGACGGTGAGTTCTAGTCCAGCCTTAGGGACAAAGGCTGGCTGGAAGACTTTGGGCCAATCACTAGGAGACGGTGAGTTCTAGTCCTGCCTTAGGCATGAAGGCTGGCTGGAAGACTTTGGGCCAATCACCAGGTGACGGTGAGTTCTAGTCCTACCTTAGGGACGAAAGCTGGCTGGGTGACTTTGGGCCAATCACCAGGAGACGGTGAGTTCTAGTCCCGCCTTAGGGACAAAAGCCGCCTGGGTGACTTTGAGCCAATCACCAGGAGACGGTGAGTTATAGTCCAGGCTTAGGGACAAAAGCTGGCTGGAAGATTTTGGGCCACTCAACAGGAGACGGTGAGTTATAGTCCTGCCTGCAGTGACTTTGGGCCTATCATTAGGAGACCGTGAGTTCTAGTCCCACTTAGCCATGAAAGCCACAGCTGGGTGACTTTCTCTCAGCCCAACCCACCTTGCAAGGTTGTTGTTGTGGAAAACAGGAAGTAGGAAGAGTATTATGTGTGTTCACTTTGAATTATTTATAAAAAGGAAGGAAGGAAGAAGAAAGAGAAAGAAAGGAAGGAAGGAAGGAAGGAAGGAAGGAAGGAGAGAGAGAGAGAGAGAGAGAGAGAGAGAGAGAGAGAGAGAGAGAGAGAAAGAAAGAAAGAAAGAAAGAAAGAAAGAAAGAAAGAAAGAAAGAAAGAAAGTGTGCATTTCATCCCTTGGCCCAAACCAGGGTTGGTGAATTAACCCATTTTGGTGTTCACACAATGCTAGCACAACTGGCTGAGTTGGCCCCACATTTCAAAGGAAGCTTTGGGTGTCATATGAATGCCACCTGCAGGTCTTTCCTTCCCAAAGCAGGTCAAGCTGACCCACGTGACTGGGTTCAGACAACACATCCACCCAGCAAGGCGTTTCCCACTGGAAAGTCAGGCAATGGTCTTCCTTGCCGCTGGCGGTTTTCAATGCATCACTCTGTTCTCCATCACACCCAGCCCCGCGATCCCGCAAGAGGGCGGATGATGGGATTTGTAATCCATCCTCCTAGAACTGCCAGGTAAGAGCCGCTCCATGTCAGGAAGGAGGCCAGAGCCAATCCGAGCCCATCCTGATCCTGGACGGCCGAGGAGGAGGGGAAACGGAGTCCAAGGCCTCGAAGGGCCTCCGGGGAAGGCCTGCCTGTCCTCCCAGGCTGCCGCCCAAGGAGAAGAAGCGGGTTAGTTGCCCGCCTCCTTTCCCAGCTTGGCGGGATAGGCCGGCGAAGGCCTGGAGTAGGCCTCAAGGCCTGGCGGTCGCCATGGCAACCGCCCGGCTCAGGCGCCTGCGCCGACTAGGCCGCGCCACGTCAAGTCGCGCAGTTTCCCGGCGTCGCTTTTCCTTGGAGACCCGGCGCAATGGCCGCTAGCGATCCGGACTTCGTGCTCCGCTATTTGGCCGAAGTGGAGGCGCTGGCCGAGGAGGTGATGGCCACCAGGCAGCAGGTAGGCCGGGGAGCGCCGTTGGGAGGGGGGAAGAGAAAACGAATTGGCGCCGCGAGGCATGATGGGAGTTGTAGTCCCCGCGCCTGGAACAAGGCAGGCCTAGGGATTTCCGTCCCGCGCCCCCGCCCGCCGCGAAACATAGAATATAAAATAGATACAACAAGATTAAATATCGCAAACAGTCTTGTGTAGAAGTGCCCACTTGGAAGGAAACCCTAGAGATCCGCTAGTCCAACCCCCCCCCTTTCCCGCTCAGACCACGCTCCAGAGGGTCCTAGGAGTGTCTTGTTGGAAGGAGTACCCCAAGGTCGTCTAGTCCAGCCCTAAGCAAGGGGCAGCCAGGCCCATGCGTGCTATCCAGGGAAAATGCTTGTAAAGCCTCTATTTTAAAATTTCTGCAGATGGAGAAATTCATATTTATTCTTTTATTATTATGTTTTAGCGTTTTATCCTTTCTTTTCTTTCTCTCTTTCTTTGTTCCTCTCTCCCTCTTTCACTTTATCCTTCCCTCTCTCCTCCCTTCCCTCTTTCCTTCCTTCCTTTCTTCCTTCTCATTCCCTTCCCTTTTCTGTCCCCTTTCATTTCCTTCCTTCGTTCTTCTCATTCCCTTCCCTTCTCTTCTCATTTCTTTCCTTCCTTCCTTCCTTCCTTCCTTCCTTCCTTCCTTCCTCTCATTCTCATTCTCTTCTCATTTCCTTCCTTCCTTCCTTCCTTCTTCTCATTCTCTTCTCATTTCCTTCCTTCCTTCCTTCCTTCCTTCCTTCCTTCCTTCCTTCCTTCCTTCCTTTCTTCTTCTTATTCTCATTTCCTTCCTTCCTTCCTTCCTTCCTTCCTCCTTCCTTCCTTCCTTTCCTTCCTTCTTTCCTTCCTTCCTTCCTTCCTTCCTTCCTTCCTTCCTTCCTTCCTTCCTTCCTTCCTTCCTTCCTTCCTTCCTTCCTTCCTTCTTTCTTCTCATTCTCATTCTCATTCTCTTCTCATTTCCTTCCTTCCTTCCTTCCTTCCTTCATTCATTCCTTCCTTCCTATACATAAAATGGGGTACGCGCTCAGCAATCTTGGACTACTCAGCAGTCTGCATTGCAGACCCCAGAGGAGACGAGGGCAGGCCCCCCTTATGGCTGCAAGGTGGCTGGGTGGAACTGTATCCCCACCTTGCCTCCAAACTGCTAGTATTGTTAGAAAATTCCTTCCAATTCCTGCATTGGGATACAAAGTGCCAAGCAACCAGTTAGTAGCCAAAACAATGCTGATTTTTTTTTTCCCCGGTGGCATTTTTGCAGCCCCAGCCTCCAGCCAGCTGGTGGATAGACAGAGTAACCAAGTTGGAGGGGATCGTGGAGGTCTTCTAGTCCAGGGCTTTTCAACCTTTTCACCGGTTGTACCACTTTTAGGATATGGCAATATTCCAGTACCACCTAGCAAGCTTGGCTGAGGAATTCTGGGAGTTGAAATCCATAAGTCATAAAATGGCCAAGTTTGAAGACCCCTGGCCGAGGTGAAGCGTGCCTGGCTGAGGAATTCTGGGAGTTGAAATCCAAAAGTCATAAAAGGGCCAAGTTTGAAGGCCCCTGTTGTTAAGTCAAGGACTATCTGTATTAACCACCCAGGGTTGAACTGTGGGGCCCTTGATGTTTTTCAAAGATCAAGGACCTCACAGTTGACTTTCCATTTGTTCTTGTGAAATACAACTTCCAACTGTCTCTGCTGGAACACCAGTCTGATCTTCTTGCTGTAGGTCAGGGATGTGTGCCTGGCTGAGGAATTCTGGGAGTTGAAGTCCACAAGGGCCAAGTTTGAAGACCCTTGCCTTATACCATTCCGGACAAATGGTTGTTCAGCCTCTTCTTAAAAACTTCCATTGTTGGAGCATCCACAACTTCTGGAAGCAATCTATTCCACTGAATAGACCATGGAGGTCTTTTGTTCAACCCCCTATACCAGTGTTTCTCAACCTTGACAATTTTAAGGCATGTGGACTTCAACTCCCAGAATTCCACAGCCAGCAATGCTGGCTGTGGAATTCTGGGAGTTGAAGTCCACATGCCTTAAAATTGTCAAGGTTGAGAAACACTGCCCTATACCATTTCAAACAGATGTCCAGTCTCGTCTTAAAAACCTCCAGTGATGGAACACCTGCAACTTCTGGAGGCAGGTAGTTCCGCTGGTTAATTGTTCTCACTGTCACGAAATTTCTCCTCAGTTCCAGATTGCTTCTCTCCTTGCTTAGTTTCCATATGTTGCTTCTTGTCCTGCCTTCGGGTGCAGTAGAAAAATATAATACAAGATGGCTTGTCCAATCTGCAGAGGGGAAGAAGTGAGACCGGGAGATGCTGGATGAATGAGCTTTTTAGCAAAGCTTGAGGTTTTATCCATTTCTCTTCTTAGATTTTCGATCTGAATCAGAAACGGAACCAAAACCGGGAAGCCTTAAGAGCCCTGAATAAGGACATGGATTCTGCTGGTGAGTTGTTGTTTTTTTCCTGGAATTGTGTGAAAAGGTCCATCTGACGTTGTAATAGCTTAGCTCAGGGTTTTAGTTTTAGTCCTTCTTTTCATTAAACTGGACAATCCCAATTCCAGGAACTTGAGGATTTTACAGAATAAGAGTGGGAAGGGACCTTGGAGGTCATCTAGTCTAACCCCCTGCTCAGGCAGGTGACCCTATACCATTTCAGACAAATGGCCGTCCGGTCTCTTCTTAAAAACTTCCAGTGTTGGAGCATTCACCACTTCTGGAGGCAGGTGGTTCCAATGGTTAATTGTTCTCACTGTCAGGAAGTTTCTCCTTAGTTCCAGGTTGCTTCTCTCCTTGATGGGTTCCCATCCGTTGCTTCTCGTCCTGCCTTCAGGCGCTTTGGAGAATAGCTTGACTCCCTCTTCTTTGGGGCAGCCCCTGAGATACTGGACTATTGCTATCATGCCACCCTTAGTCCTTTTCGTTAAACAGGACAATCCCAATTCCAGGAACTTGAGGATTTAACAGAATAAGAGTTGGAAGGGAACTTGAAGGTCTTCTAGTCCAACCCCCTGCTCCAGCAGGAGACCCTATACCATTTCAGACAAATGGCCATCCAATCCCCTCTTGAAAACCTCCAGTATTGAGGCACCCACAACTTCTGGTGGCAAGCAGTTCCGCTGATTGTTCTCACGGATAGGAAATTTATCCATAATTCTAGGTTGCTTCTCTCCTTGATGAGTTTCCATCCATTGCTTCTTGTCCTGCCTTCAGGCGCTTTGGAGAAGAGCTTGACTCCCTCTTCTTTGGGGCAGCCCCTGAGAGATTGGAAAACTGCTATCCTGTCGCCGTTGGTCCTTCTTTTCACTAGACTAGGCGTACCCAGTTTCTGCCACCTTCCTAGCCACCTTTTCGCTAAACCGGAGGAGTTTGGAAGGAATGAAAGAAAGCAGACTGCCGGAAATGGGAAAGAAAAAAAAGAGCATTGGAATAATTTCTGCCGTGGATGATTCCAACACACTAATCAACTTTGGAAGAAAACATTCTTGGCGTGGAGTGAGGAACAAAAGTCCCATGTTACAAAAGCAGCTAATTCTGGCAGATGTTAACTAGCTATGTTGAATGCAAGCCTGATAATTGCCAGAACAGAAAAAGACCTCAATTGTCAGGGCTGTGCGTCTTTTCCTTCTTTTTTCTTTTTATTTCTTTTTTTCCCAAATTCAACAACTCTCAGGGGGAACGGGAAGACTCAAGAGGTACCTTTTTTTTTTTGAGAATTGTTGTTGTTGTTAATTGCGAAGTCGTGTCCGACCCATCGCGACCCCATGGACAACGTTCCTCCAGGTCTTCCTGTCCTCTCCCATCTTCTGGAGTCCATTTAAGTTCACACCTACTGCTTCAGTGACTCCATCCAACCACCTCATTCTCTGTCGTCCCCTTCTTCTATTGCCCTCAATCTTTCCCAGCATTAGGCCCTCCTCCAGTGAGTCCTTCCTTCTCATTAGGTGGCCAAAGTATTTGAGTTTCAACTTCAGGATCTGGCCTTCTAAAGAGCAGTCGGGGTTGATCTCTTCTAGGACTGACCGGTTTGAACGCCTTGCAGTCCAAGGGACTCGCAGGAGTCTTCTCCAGCACCATAGTTCAAGGCCTCAATTCTTTGGCGCTGCGCTCAGCCTTTCTTATGGTCCAACTTTCACAGCCATACATTGCAACTGGGAAAACCATGGCCTGGACTATACGCACTTTTGTTGGCAGGGTGATGTCTCTGCTTTTTAGTATGCTGTCTATTCTTTATTCTTTTTGAGAATAAAACACTGCAAATTCAATGGCCCGTCCTCGGAGATCCTAAGCATTCTAATCCTGGGCTGCATTTCCTGTGTCCAAACAAAGGAAGTGGGAGGAAAATACCAATTTAAAATATCAATTTACATACCAGAAGTACAGGCAGGATTTCGAAGAGGCAGAGGAACTAGAGATCAAATTGTCAACATAACGCTGGATCATGGAGAAAGCTAGGCAGTTCCAGAAAAACATCTACTTCTGCTTCATTGACTATGCTGAAGCCTTTGATTGTGTGGATCACAACAAATTGAGGCGAGTTGTTAAAGAGATGGGAGTACCAGACCACCTTATTTGTCTCTTGAGAAACATATGCGGGTCAAGAAGCAACAGTGAGAACTGGACACGGAACCACTGATTGGTTCAAAATTGGGACAGGAGTCCGGCCAGGCTGTACACTGTCGCCCTGCCTGTTTAACTTATATGCAGAGCATATCATGAGAAAGGCAAGGCTAGAGGAATCAAAAGTTGGAATTAAGATTGCCGGGAGAAACATCAACAACCTAAGGTATGCAGACGATACCACTCTAATGGCAGAAAGTGAAGAGGAACTAAACAGCCTCTTGATGCGGGTGAAGAAGGAGAGTGCAAAGGTTGGCTTGAAACTCAACATTAAGAAAACCAAAATCATGGCATCTGGCCCACTCAATTCCTGGCAAATAGATGGGGAAGAAATGGAGGTAGTGACAGATTTTATTTTTCTGGGCTCCAATATCACCTCAGATGGGGACTGCAGCCAAGAAATTAAAAGACGCTTGCTCCTGGGGAGGAAAGCTATGGCAAATCTAGACAGCATACTAAAAAGCAGAGACATCACCCTGCCAACAAAAGTGCATATAGTCCAGGCCATGGTTTTCCCAGTTGCAATGTATGGCTGTGAAAGCTGGACCGTAAGAAAGGCTGAGCACCAAAGAATGGAGGCCTTTGAACTCTGGTGCTGGAGAAGACTCCTGTGAATCCCCTGGACTGCAAGGCGATCCAACCGGTCAGTCCTAGAGGAGATCAACCCTGACTGCTCTTTAGAAGGCCAGATCCTGAAGTTGAAACTCAAGTACTTTGGCCATCTAATGAGAAGGAAGGACTCCCTGGAGAAGAACCTGATGCTGGGAAAGATGGAGGGCAAGAGAAGAAGGGGACGACAGAGAAGGAGGGGGCTGGAGGGAGTCCCTGAAGCAGGAGGTGTGAGCTTCAATGGACTCCAGAAGATAGTAGAGGACAGGAAGACCTGGAGGAACATGGTCCATGGGGTCACGATGGGTCGGACACGACTTTGCAACTAACAACATCAAAGCTCTCTGCCAGGTCGACGTGCCTGTAATTGCACAATACAAGTTAGTCCTTGGCTTACGACCACAACGTGAGTGCAGGATTCCCACGGCTAAGTGAGACATTCCTTAAGCTTTGCCCCATTTTACGACTTTTCTTGCCACGGTCGTAAAGTGAATCGCTGCAGTTGTTAGAAGTGTTAAGTGAATCTGGCTTCCCCATCGATGGGGAAGGACGCGAAAGGGGATCGCGTGAACCCAGGACACGGCGACCGTCATAAATATGAGCCTGTTGCCAAGTGGCTGAATTTTGATCATGTGACCTCAGGGATGCAGCAAGGGTCATAAGTGTGAAAAATGGTCATAAGTCACTTTTTTCCGGGCTGTTGTAGCTTAACGGTCACTAAATGAATGGTCGTAGATCAAGGGGTGTCTATACTTGCTTCTTGTAGAAGTCAGCCAAACTTCTGGATGCGTTAGGCCTTTTTTTCATAATAATAATAATAATAATAATAATAATAATAAAGTTGGAAGGGAGCTTGGAGGTCATCTAGTCCAACCCCCTGCTCAGGCAGGAAACCCTATACCATTTAGGACCAATGGCTGTCCAGTCTCTTCTTAAAAACTTCCAGTGCTGGAGCATTCACCGCTTCTGGAGGCAGGTTGTTCCACTGGTTAATTGTTCTCACTGTCAGGAAATTCCTCCTTAGTTCTAGGTTGCTTCTCTCCTTGATGAGTTTCCATCCGTTGCTTCTTGTCCTGCCTTCAGGGGCTTTGGAGAATAGCTTGACTCCCTCTTCTTTGGGGGCAGCCCCTGAGATACTGGAAGGCTGCTATCATGTCCCCCTTTTCTTCATTAAACTAGACATACCCAATTCCAGCAACCATTCCTTATATGCTTTAGCCTCCAGTCCCCTGATCATCTTTGTTGCTCTTCTCTGCACTCTTTCTAGAGCAGTGTTTCCCAAACTTGACAATTTTAAGGCATTAGGACTTCAACTCCCAGAATTCCACAGCCAGCAATGCTGGCTGTGGAATTCTGGGAGTTGAAGTCCACATGCCTTAAAATTGTCAAGTTTGGGAAACACTGTTTAGAGTCTCAACATCTTTTTTACATCGTGGTGACCAAAACTGGATGCAGGATTCCAAGTGTGGCCTTACCAAGGCCTTGTAAAGTGGTATTAACACTTCACGTTGTCTTGATTCTATCCCTCTGTTAATGCAGCCTAGCACTGTGTTGGCTTTTTTGGCAGCTGCAGCACACGGCTGGCTCCTATTTAAGTGATTGTCCACTAGGACTCCGAGATCCCTCTCACAGTTACTACTATTGAGCAAGGTTACCCCTATACTATATCTGTACATTTGGTTTTTCTTGCCTAAATGTAGAACCTTACTTTTTTCACCATTGAATTTCATTTTGTTAGTTAGTGCCCAGTGTTCAAGTCTGTCCAGATCCTCCTGTATCCTAAGCCTGTCTTCGGGAGTGTTGGCTATTCCTGCCAGCATGGTGTCATCTGCAAATTTGATGAGTTCCCCATCTATCCCCTTGTCCAAATCATTGATGAAGATGTTGAATAAAAAGAATAGAATAGAATAGAATAGAATAGAATAGAATAGAATAGAATAGAATTAACAGATTGTAGAATAGAATAAAATTAGAAATAAGAATAGAATTAGAATAGAATAGAAATAACTGATTGTAGAATAGAATAGAATTACAAATAAGAATAGAATAGAAATAATAGATTGTAGAATAGAATAGAATTAGAAATAAGAATAGAATAGAATTAGAAATAAGAATAGAATAGAAATACCAGATTGTAGAATAGAATTAGAAATAAGAATAGAATTAGAATAGAATAGAAATAACTGATTGTAGAATAGAATAGAATTAGAAATAAGAATAGAACAGAATTAGAAATAAGAATAGGATAGAATTAGAAATAAGAATAGAATAGAAATAACAGATTGTAGAATAGAATTAGAAATAAGAATAGAACAGAATTAGAAATAAGAATAGAATAGAAATAACATTGTAGAATAGAATAGAATTAGAAATAAGAATAGAATAGGAAATAAGAATAGTAGAGTAGAAATAACAGATTGTAGAATAGAATAGAATTAGAAATAAGAATAGAATAGGAAAAGAATAGAGTAGAGTAGAAATAACAGATTGTAGAATAGAATAGAATTAGAAATAAGAGTAGAACAGGAAATAAGAATAGAGTAGAAATAACAGATTATAGAATAGAATTAGAAATAAGAATAGAATTAGAAATAAGAATAGAATAGGAAAAGAATAGAGTAGAGTAGAAATAACAGATTGTAGAATAGAATAGAATTAGAAATAGAACAGAATTAGAAATAAGAATAGAATAGAAATAATAGATTATAGAATAGAATTAGAAATAAGAGTAGAATAGGAAATAAGAATAGAATAGAGTAGAAATGACAGATTGTAGAATAGACTAGAATTAGAAATAAGAATATAGAATTAGAAATAAGAATAGAATAGAAATAGCAGATTGTAGAATAGAATAGAATTAGAAATTAGAATAGAATGGAACAGAATAGAACAGAAAAGAATAAAAGAGAACAGAATAGAATAGAATAGAATATAGGACCATGGAGGTCTTCTAGTCCAGCCTCCTGCTCAAACAGGAGAACGTATATACCATCTCAGACAGGTGACTGTCTCTAGCCTCTTCTTAAAAACCTCCAATGATGGAGTGCCCACAATTTCTGGGGGTAAAGCTGTTCCACTGGTTGATTGTCCTCCCCGTTTTGTTTCAATTGCTTACATGTCTGCTTGAGCTATTTTTACCTTTCTGGAGGCTTTCGGATAGCATGAGCTGGAAAAGTGACCGGGAGACCTGAAAACTTTCATGCTGAGTCGGGGAAAATGTGAAATATTTCTTTTAGCTCTGTCTCTGGCCCATCTGTTAATAAATAGATTTTTAACCGCTTGTCTAATCAATCGCAGCCAAGGCCAAAAATCAGGTTTTCTCTTTCGGGCATCGGGGCCGAAGTGACTTTTTTCTTTCTTTTTGCAAGCAGTGTGTAGATGTGGAGGGCAACTTGCTCCGGGTGTGGGTGTGGCTCACGGGGTTTTTTTGTCGCCCGAGAACATTTTTAAAAGCTGTCAAAAAAACAAAGATGTGTTTACAACACAGCGGAGAATAAGCGATTGGGACCTTCTGTGACAATTTGTAGTAATTACTCTTCAAAATTGTGCGGGTCATTCCTTCCGTGACTTAAACTTCTCTCTCTCTCTCTCTCTCTCTCTCTCTCTCTCTCTCTCTCTCACCTTGTTTCTTGCTTTCTCTCTCCTCTTTCCCTGTCTTTCTTTCTTTCTTTCTTTCTTTCTTTCTTTCTTTCTTTCTTTCTTTCTTTCTTTCTCTGTTCTCTCTCTTTCACTTCTTTTTCTCTTCCTCTTCATTTCGTTTTCTGTTTCTGTGTTCTTTTTTCTCTTTCTGCCAGCATCCTAGGTGTCAACCAGGTACCTCCTTAAAATGTAAGACGTTCCGAGTAGCACAGTTTTTTGTAACATTGCTGGAGTTATTGCAGGGAGCTGCAGTTTCTTGATGTATTCTGTATTCTGTATTCTTATAATGGATCATCGCACAGTCAGCCAGATGTTCAGACTGGATTTGGCATTTTTGTCTACCTATCGAATCCTTCCCAAGGACCTGGGATAGGCAGATGTGGATATTTGATGGTATTACAGATATCGTTGCAGGATGGAAGCAGTTCTTAGTAAGGCCGCCTTTTGCAATTGACTAATGGCAAATTTGTCAATGTCGATGATGGTGTCCAAGTGGTGCTCCAGTTGTTTTGGGATTGCACCCAAGTAGCCTATGACTATTGGTACTACCCTTGCTTGCTTTTGCCACAGTCTTTCCATTTCTATTTGTAGGTCTTTGTATTTTGTTATCTTCTCCAGTTCTTTCTCGTCTATTCTGCTGTCTCCAGGCACTGCCACGTCCACTATCCAGACTTTTTTGTCTTTCTTATCGACAATTGTTAAGTCTGGGGTGTTATGTTGCAGGTGCTTGTCTGTTTGAATTCTGAAGTCCAGAGCAGTTTAATTTTATCATTTTCTATGACTTTCTCTATTTTATGATCCCACCAGTTCTTGCTTTTAGGCCAGTGATTCTCAACCTTTCTAATGCCGTGATCCCATAATACAGTTCCCCATGTTGTGGTGACCCCCAAATGGGTGTGGCCACCAATAAGAGGGAATAGGACAGCTAGGGAAAAGGGAAAAAAATGGCGGACAGCATGGTTTGGTGACCCCCGTGAAATGGTCATTCAACCCCAAATGGGGTCCCGACCCACAGGTTGAGAACCACTGTTTTAGGCAAATGATATTTCTTGCAGATCTTCCAATGCACCATAATTGCTACTTTGTCATTATTATTATTATTATCATCATCATCATCATTATTAAGATGGAGACCCTCTACGGCCCTGTATGACGACGCCATGGTAACCAACCCCAGGAGCAAAGAGCTATTTCTTGACCAGCTGCCGCTGAGGCTGCTGGGTCTTGTAGTTCAGCCACCTCTGGAAGGTTTTCAGGTTCCCACTCCAAGAGGCTGAGATTTCAAAGCAGGAGCCGTTTTGTTTTTTCAATTAAACAAATTGACGCTTCGGATTAAAACAAGCTTTCTTTTCCTGCTTTCAGACAAAGCCACGGTTTGCTTTGGGGCCATGTTCATCCAGCTTCCGAAAACGAAGACCCGGGAGATGCTACAGAGAGGTGAGGTTTCCCCGTAAAGTTCTCCCGTTTGCAGAGCTGAGCCGTGTGTGTGTGTGTGTGTGTGTGTGTGTGTGTGTGTGTGTGTGTGTTGGTCGAGCATGGAATGGCGCCAGCCCAATTCATACTTTGGAAGCGCTCCATGTCTCCCGCGGGAAAATATTGACCCGCTTTTCCACTGTTGCCTTTCAGCGGTTGAGATTAATGGTTGCTGATAAGGAGAGTCATTTATAAGAATCGTTCTCAGCCCTTGGTGACTTTATGATGCACTGATATAAAAAGAGAGTAACCCCCCTCCCTTCTAGCATGGATGGTGTTCCTTAGTTGGGTCATGAAATGTCTGCCAGAAAACCAGCAAGCTTAGAGAGCACCAAGGACCCAACATACATACATTCATTCATTCATTCATTCATTCATTCATTCATTCATTCCTCCTCCTTCTCCTCCTCCTCCTCCTCCCTTGTAGCACGGATGGTGTTCCCTAGTTGGGTCATGAAACATCTGCAAGAAAACAAGCAAGCTCAGAGAGCACCAAGGACCCCACAGTCATTCTTCCTCCTCCTCCTCCTCCTCCTCCCTTCTAGCACTGATGATGTGACCTAGTTGGGTCATGAAATGTCTGCAAGAAAACCAGCAAGCTCAGAGAGCACCAAGGACTCCACAGTTGTCCTCCTCCTTCCTCCTCCTCCTCCTCCTCTCCACAAAACCCCACACCCTTTTAGCACTGATGATGTTCCCTAGTTGGGTCATGAAAGGTCTGCAAGAAAACCACCAAGTTCAGAGAGCCCCAAGGACTCCACAGTCCTCCTCCTCCTCCTCTTCCTCCTCCTCCTCCTCCCTTCTAGCACGGATGATGTTCCCTAGTTGGGTTGTGAAACCTCTGGAAGAAAACCACCCAGCTCAGAGAGCATCAAGAAGCCCACAGTCCTACTCTTCTTTCTCCTCCTCTCTGCAAACTCCACTCCCTTCCAGCACTGATGATGTTCCCTACTTGGGTAATGAATGCCAGAAAACCAGCAAGGTCTGGGAGCACCAAGGACCCCACAGTCCTCCTTCTCCTCCTCCTGCTCCTCCTTCCCCCCTCCTGCTCCTCCTCCCCCTCCCCCTCCTCCCTTCTAGCACTGATGTTCCCTAGTTGGGTTGTGAAACCTCTGCAAGAAAACCATCATGCTTAGTGAGCAACGACCCCACCGTCCTCCTCTTTTTCTATCTCTTCACTCCCTTCCAGCCCTGATGACGTCCCCTAGTTGGGTCATGAAACGTCTGCCAGAAAAACCAGCAAAGAAGCCACCGTTCCATGAAATTCCTCCTCTAATTAGGCAACGTGGTCGACCATCCTAGCCTTATATATGAAATTATCGGGGAGAGCCTGTACAGCACACAGCTCCCCTGGGGGGGGGGGGTTCATCGTCCTCTTTCTTTCCGCCTCCCTGCTTTTTTTTTTTTTTTCCTGTGGGAGGATCGGCATATTCAGGCACCAGATTGGGCCGTCCCCCCTCATTCCTTCCCGTGGGAATGGCATAAGGGCTTGCCAGGCTGTTAGAAAAGCGGTGCCAGTCTCTGCACATGTTTCTCAGGGGCCATCTGCAGTTCGGCTGGATCCAAGATGATCAGGGGACTGGAGGCTAAAACATACAAGGAACGGTTGCTGGCATTGGGTAGGTCCAGTTTAAGGAAGAGAAGGACGAGGGGGGACAGGATAGCAGTCTTCCAGTATCTCAGGGGCTGCCCCAAAGAAGAGGGAGTCAAGCTATTCTCCAAAGCCCCTGAAGGCAAGACAAGAAGCAATGGGTGGAAACTGACCAAGGAGAGAAGCAACCTGGAACTAAGGAGAAACTTCCTGACTGCCAGAACAATCAGCCAGTGGAACTACTTGCCTCCAAAGCGGTGAATGCTCCAACATTGGAAGTTTTTAAGAAGAGACTGGACAGCCATTTGTCTGAAATGGTACAGGGTTTCCTGACTGAGCAGGGGGTTGGACTAGATGACCTCCAAGGTCCCTTCCAACTCTGTTCTGTTCTGTTCTTTCCATGTTCTGTTCTGTTCTTTACATATTCTATTCTATTCTATTCAAAGCAAAACATCCGGATTCAGCCATAGTTTCATTCCATACAGCATTAACCTTGTGAACTCTCAAGCTTCCTCCTTCCATTATATATCCAAGATGGACAGGGTTTAATATTCATTTGCTATGTATATGTAGGGGTGTGGGTCTATACATATGTTGTATATAGCATGTTTAGGTGTGTGTCATGTATGTGTTCACTTACAGCGGGGAACTAAATTTCATTTTTGATGTGTTCCGTTGTGCCCAAAGCAAAAAAAAAAATGACAAGGCTATCTTATCTTTTCTCATCTTATCTCATCTTATCATCTTCTTATCTTATCATCCTATCTTATCTTACCTTACCTTACCTTATCTTATTGCCTTGCCTTGCCTTACCTTACCCTAACCCTATCCTATCCTATCCATTTTAAACCTCACCCGTGGACCGTTCTTCCCCTCGTCCTTCCGCAGATCAAGAGCTGTTGGAGGAAGAAATTGCGAAATTGCAGGAGGAACTCAAAGGGAAAGTCAGCCACCTCATGGAGGCCCAAGGTAGGTGCCCACCTGGCTCCCTAACCTGATTCCAAGGGAAAGCTCAGCACGCCAAGGTTTTTTTTTTTTTCCCTTCCCAATTTGACTAATTGTGTGAATGGCACCTTATCTTCCTTGGTACTGTTGTATTCTGAACTCAGAGCTCTGAGTGGCCCAATTAAGATTTCCTTCCCTCCCGTCTTAAGGCGGTAAGGTAGTGACTGAGAGCCGTGGGGAGCGATGGGGAAGGGGCTGGGCTGGACTAGGAGCTGGGAAACCCAGCGTCTGTCTGTCCACCGCCTCCCCCTACCCTCCCCTTCACAGGGATTCCCTGGACAACTTCGGGCTATTCCCTCCTTCTCGATCCCAGGAGCGATGTGGTAGATTAGGAGGGAGCTTAAAGATTCTTTTTGAAATTTAGTTTTATTTCTTCATTTTAATTATTTAGCATTTATATACCGTGCCTCTATTATTTTTATATATACCTAATATTCCTTCCTGCTCCTATTTTTCTGACAACCCTGTGAGGTGGGCTGGGCTGGGCTGAGGGAGAGGAAGTGTTGCAAAGTCAGCCAGTCAGCTTTCATGCCTAAGGCGGGAGTAGAACTCACTGTCTCCTGGTGATTGGTCCAAAGTCTTCCAGCCAGCTTTCATGCCTAAGGCGGGACTAGAACTCACCGTCTCCTAGTGATTGGCCCAAAATCACCTAGCTGGCTTTAATGCCTAAGGCGGGACTAGAACTCACCGTCTCCTGGGGATTGGCCCAAGGTCACCCAGCCAACTTTCATGCCTAAGGCGGGACTAGAACTCACCGTCTCCTGGTCATCAACCCAAAATCACCCAGCCAGCTTTCGTGGCTAAGGAAGAACTAGAACGCACCATCTCCTGGTGATTGGCACAAGGTCACCCAGATGGCTTTAATACCTAAGGCAGGACTGGAAATCACCGTCTCTTGGTGATTGCCCAAGGTCACCCAGCCAGCTTTCATGCCTAAGGCGGGACTAAAACTCACCGTCTCCTGGTGATTGGCCCAAGGTCACCCAGCCAACTTTCATGCCTAAGGAGGGACTAGAACTCACCGTCTCCTGGTGATTGGCCCAAGGTCACCCAGCCAACTTTCATGCCTAAGGCAGGACTAGAACTCACCGTCTCCTGGTCATCAACCCAAAATCACCCAGCCAGCTTTCGTGGCTAAGGCGGGACTATCACTATTAGCCCAAAATCACCCAGCCAGCTTTCACGCCTAAGGCCGGACTAGAACTCCCTGCCTCCCAGTTTCTCGCCTGGCGCCTGGCTCCTCATGGGTTTAACATCTCCCTTCATCTTCCTGAAGGTAAACCAGAACTGAAAGGCTACAACTTGAAACCCTTGACCGCCGAAGAAATGTGGTTCATGAAGAAAGTGGTGGACAACTGAAGCCGTCCCCCCTCCCCCCCCGGGGTGGATTTGGGTGTGGGCAACACGCACCGGAGAGCTGCTTCCCGCACTCCCGGCGGAGAAAACCGGGTGTTTGCCGAGCGGTTGAGTCTTTCACGGGCGTCTTATAGCGAGTGAGCTGCCTCCGGATTTGGCCCAGACGTCATTGACACTCTACGGACAGGTGACAGACATTTGAGGAGGGAATTCGTCGAGCTCAGAATTTTGCCCTTTCGAGGTTTGGATATCAAATTCAAATGATTGACAGTGAGGGTGGAGGACTTGGCGTTGATCTAGTTTCCGTGCACCGTGCCCGGGTGACGATCAGTGGAATGAGGCTCCCACGCCTGTTGGGAGAAGGGTGGAAAATAATCTCTGCTTCACTTTGACCGTGTGGTTGTGTTTGTCTAGCCCAGGGGTAGGCAACCTTGCCTCTTTTATGACTCGTGGACTTCAACTCCCAGAATTCCTGAGCCAGCATGGGGGAACTATGGCCCCCTCATGACTTGTGGACTTCAACTCCCAGAATTCCTGAGCCAGCATGGGGGAACTATGGCCCCCTCATGACTTGTGGATTTCAACTCCCAGAATTCCTGAGCTAGCGTGGGGGAACTGTGGCCCCCTCATGACTGGTGGACTTCAACTCCCAGAATTCCTGAGCCAGCATGGCTCAGCTTGGAAACCTCTCCCTTTCCCCTCAGCATGGCTGGCTCAGGAATTCTGGGAGTTGAAGTCCACGAGTCATAAAAGAGCCAAGGTTGCCTACCCCTGGACTAGCCACAGCCATTGTCTGAATTAAAACTCTTTGGAGATGAAGGGACTGCCTCTCCCCCATTTCATCCCTGGGGAGATGCTCTCTCTCTCTACGTATTGTACTTTGCCCTGTCATGTTGGTGGGATTGTTTTCTGCTTCTGGGTAATTCTTCGATTGGGCTGTTCTTTAATGGCGTCACTGCATCGAATCCCTCCTAGCACTGATGATGTTGCCTAGTTGGGTCTCAAAACGTCTGCAAGGAAACCACCAAGCTTAGAGAGCACCTCAGTCCTTCTCTTCCTCCTCCTCCTCTTCCCCTTCCTCCCTCTCCCCCTCCTCCACTTCCTTCTCCTCCTCCTCGCCACAAATCCCACTCCATTCTAGCACTGATGATGTTACCTAGTTGGATCATGAAAGGTCCGCAAGAAAACATCCAAGCTCAGAGGACCAAAGACCCCACAATCCTCCTCCACCACCCCCCAACCCACCCTCCTTCCTAGCACCGATGACATTATCTAGATTTTCTAAATGGAATGAAAAAGATGTTGAGACTCTAGAAAGAGTGCAGAGAAGAGCAACAAAGAGGATCAAGGGACTGGAGGCTAAAACATATAAGGAATGGTTGCTAGAATTGGGTCTGTCTAGTTTAACGAAGAGAAGGACGAGGGGGGACAGGATAGCAGCCTTCCAGTATCTCAGGGGCTGCCCCAAAGAAGAGGGAGTCAAGCTCTTCTCTAATGTGCCTGAAGGCAGGACAAGAAGCAACAGGTGGAAACTAATCAAGGAGAAAAGCAACCTGGAACTAAGGAGGAATTTCCTGACAGTGAGAACAATTAACCAGTGGAACAACCTGCCTCCAGAAGCAGTAAATGCTCCAACACTGGAGGTTTTTAAGAAGAGACTGGACAGCCATTTGTCCGAAATGGTATAGGGTTTCCTGCCTGAGCAGGGGGTTGGGCTAGATGTCCTCCAAGGTCCCTTCCAACTTTATTATTATTATTATTATCATTATCATCATCATCATCATCTCCAAAAAAACAACCCAGCTCAGAGGGCACCAAGGACACACCCCACCTTCTATCCTTGATACTATTTGCCAGTAAGATCAAAAAAGAAGGTTTTTTAAACGTTTTGGAGTACAAAGGCATTCTTTTATGATTCACGCTCATTCCAGAAGATTTGAATCGGAACCAGGGTGGCAGAAGTGGCTCTGGCTAAGATGCCTCTTTCTGCCCGGCGTTGGTGCAACAACAGGGTGACAACTCTGCCTACTCAATAGCTCAAAACATTTTACACATTTCCCCCCACGTATTGCAGCCAGCCTGCCTCTGGAAGGCATCTCCACAGCGGAGACATCTTGCTGTTTGTCCATTTGGCGCTCGTGACCAGCCTGCCTGTCAAAACTCCTTCAAGCTCGAAAGACGGGATCCCCTTCCAAAGCAAAAGGGACATCCAGCTGACATGGGTGAAGGCAGGAAAACCCTGGAATCGGTTCCTGGTTTAGCTCTATAAAGCAGGGAGCTCCCCCATCCTCCCATCCCATCTCTAACTTCAGGTCCTTTTTTTCTTTTTTTAAATCTAGCCACTTTCGGGCTGAGCCTTAATTTTTCAGCTGCGCCTGACATGACTTGAAAAGTTGCTTCAGCTGTTTCTTTCTGTCGTTGCTGTAACCTGCAAGGGAGGGGGGGAGAGAGAAGACAAGGTCAGATTGTAAAAAAAAGGATATAGGCAGTCCTTGGCTTAACAACCGCAATTGGGACCGGAACTTGCGTTGCTTAGAGAGGCAGCTGTGCCCGATTTTGCAAGCTTTTTTTACTTTTCTTAAACCTGATGTCATGGTTCCGAAAGATGAAACTCTTCAAAGAACTTTGAGGCATTGTTTACCTTAAAGAATCTTTAATTGAGCAGCATAGCATCGGCATGTACATAGCCGAAGCCAAAATCTGAATTCCCCTCCCCTGAGCATATAGTATCAAAGCACAATTCCTTCCTTTAGTTAACAGTCATAAATAACATTCTCCAATTAGTTTGAAATGCAGACTTTCCCTCCAATTCCATAACCCGCCATTCCTTATCGTCTCTTATTTCAAACAACCTTGACGAATACTCTAGTGTGATGTTATGTCTAACTAATCCCCATACACATTCTTCCCCCTCCCTCCCCAGCATCATCTAATTCTAACTTTAGAAGTCAGACACAGGTTAAAGAGAAAATGGCTGCATCTTCATATATTGTCAAAGCAAGAACATCCGATGTTAGCAGCGTTGACACCATGCTTTTAAGCAAATCGCTGCCGTCGTTAAGTGAAGCAAATCTGGCATTGGCTACAGGCGGTCCTCGACTTAACGGCCATAAGGTGAGCCCGATGTTTCTGCCGGCAAGCGCGAGACATTGGTCGAGGGGCATTTTGCCCCGTTTTACGACCTCTCTTGCCTCCGTTTGTTAAGTGGATCGCTGCAGTTGATCAATTAGCAACAACGGTTCTTAAGTGAATCCGGCTTGCCTCGTTGACTGGTCAGAAAGTCGTAAAAGGGGGATCCTGTGACCTCCCCAGGGACGCTGCAACCATCATAAACACGAGTCAGTTGCCAAGCGTCTTGAGTTTGGATCACGCGACCCTGGCTGTATGTGCGAAAAGGGTCCTAAGTCCCTTTTTTTCCAGTGCCCTTGTAGCGTTGAATGGTCACTAAGCGAACCGTCGTAAGCCGAGGATTGCCTGCGTTGTGTTTGATTGTCGGAAGCCGGCTGGGTAGGTCACCAAACCCCATGGTCACGTGACCCGGCAACCGTCCTAAGTACATGCCAGTTGCTGAGCCTCTGGATTTGGATCACGTGACCACGGGGTCGTAGGTGTGAATACTGGTCATAAGTCAGTTTTTCCAGCGCCGTTGCAACTTTGAACGGCTGCTAAACGAAGGGCTGTAAGTGTGTGTGTGTGAGGGAGGGGGGGGGCTACCTGAATTAATTTGAATTAATTAATTGAATTAATTCCAGCGGACGCGAGCGTGGGCTTTAAAGCTCGCCAAGGACCTGTTCTTCCCCTCGTCTTTCCGCAGATCAGGAGCTTCTGGAGGAAGGAATTGCCCGTGTCTCCGTTGTAAATTGGTGTCGTTTGCCAAGCGGCCTCGTTTTGATCACGTGACTGCGGGGTCCTCAGGTGGGCCCCCGTCGTAAGTCACCTTTTACAGCGTCCTTGTGACTTCAAACGGTCATTAAAAGGGATAGTCGTAAGGCAAGGACTGTCTGTATTGGGCACATCCCACCCGTCTGTTTCGCCAGCCTCTTCAAACTTGGCAATTTTAAGATTTGTGGACTTCAACTCCCAGAATTCCCCAGCCAGCAGATGAACTCTGGGAGTTGTAGTCCATGCACCTGGAAAGTCGCCAAGGTTGAGAAACGCTAGTGTAGGACAGGGGTCTTCAAACTTGGCAACTTTAAGACTGGTGGATTTCAACTCCTAGAATTCCCCACCCAGCATATGAAGTCTGGGAGTTGTAATCCATGCACCTGGAAAGTTGCCAGGGTTCAGAAACACTAGTGTAGGACAGGGGTCTCCAACCGTGTCAACTTTAAGCCCTCAGGGCTGGCTGAGGAATTCTGGGAGTTGAAGTCCAAAAGTCTTAAAGTTGACAGGTTTGAAGACCCCTGCTCCAAAGCCTAAGCCTCCCACATCATCAACGCTCCCCACAGCCCTCCGGTGCCATACCTAGGTGTGTGTTTGCCACAAAGCCGTTCATTGGCGTATCCAGATTGGCGTCTTCCCTGCTAACCGGCCCATCGTTCCACATGAGATCAAAGCCTCCGACGCGCTTTTCCTTCCCTGTCAAACTGTAAGGACAAAGAATGAAAGAAAGAGGGACTGGGGGGGACAGACACGATAGCAGCCTTCCAGTATCTCAGGGGCTGCCCCAAAGAAAAGGGAGTCAAGCTATTCTCCAAAGCACCTGAAGGCAGGACAAGAAGCAACGGATGGAAACTCACCAAGGAGAGAAGCAACCTAGAACTAAGGAGAAACTTCCTGACAGTGAGGACAATCAACCAGTGGAACTACCTGCCACCAGAAGTTGTGAGTGCTCCCAACACCGTAAGTTTTTAAGAAAAGATTGGTCTGAAATAGTATAGGGCAGAGGTCCCCAACCTTTTGGGCACCAGAGACTGGTTACATGGAGAGAGGTTTTTCCGCGCACCAGAGGTGCGTGGTTTTGAGTGCTGCCTGCATCCCGTGGATAGGGCTTTGCTTGTTTGTGCGGACCGGTTGCTGGCACGCCGCGGCCTGGTACAGGGTTGGGGACCCCTGGTATAGGGTTCTCGGGGTTGGACTAGAAGACCTCCAAGGTCCCTTCCAACTCTCATTCTGGAGCAAGGGAGTCTGTGTAGCCATCCATCTTTCATGTTTAGAATAGAATATAGGATGATATAGAAAAGATGTTGAGACTCTAGAAAGAGTGCAGAGAAGAGTCACAAAGATTTAGAGACTGGAGGCTGAAACACAAAGAACGGTCGCGGGAATTCACAATCTTAAAAGATGATGCAGTAAAAGTGCTACACTCAATTTGCCAGCAAATTTGGAAAACTCAACCGTGGCCACAGGATTGGAAAAGGTCAGTTTACATTCCAGTTCCAAAGAAAGGCAATGCCAAAGAATGTTCAAACTATCGCACCATTGCACTCATTTCACATGCTAGTAAAGTTATGCTTACAATCCTACAAGCTAGACTCCAGCAGTATGTGGATCGAGAACTACCAGAAGTACAGGAAGGATTTCGAAGAGGCAGAGGAGGGCAAGAGAAGAAGGGGACGACAGAGAAGGAGGTGGCTGGATGGAGTCCCTGAAGCAGCAGGTATGAGCTTAAATGGACTCCAGAAGATGGTAGAGGACAGGAAGGCCTGGAGGAACGTGGTCCATGGGGTTGCGATGGGTCGGACACGACTTTGCAATTAACAACAACAACAAAGTCTATTGAAAAGAAGGACTATGGATGACCAGATAGCAGAGTTCCAATATTGGAGGGGCTGCCACAAAGAAGAGGAGGGGGGTCCACCTCTTCTCCAAAGTACCAAAGGCCAGGACAAGAAGCAATGGATGGAAACTGATCAAAGAAAGAAGCAACCTGGAACAAGGAGAGACTTCCTGACAGTGGGGACAAATAACCAGTGGAATGACTTGCCTTCAGAAGTTGTGGCTGTTCCATCACTGGAAGTCTTCAAGAAGAGATTGGGCAACCATTTGTCCAATAGTAGTACAATCCTTATTGTTATCAACTAAATAAAAACGCCCACGATTTCTGGTGGCAAGCTGTTCCACTGGTTGATTGTCCTCACCGTCAGGAAGTTTCTCCTTGATTCCAGGTTGCTTCTTTCTTTGATCAGTTTCCATCCGTTGCTTCTCGTCCTGCCCTCCGGTGCTTTGGTGAACAACCTGGCCCCCTCTGCCTATCTGGAAAGGACCAGGTTGAAGATGGCCAGCCTGACTGGTCATCTGTGGTCAGATCTTGGTTTAATGCAAGAAACAACAGTGCAGCCACGAAGTTGATTCAATGTTTTGAAAGCTTTCTTGGTGTCTCCTGATGTCAGGGGTGGAAAAACTGGGTGGAAACGCTCCCCCGCTGTCTCCGTGCTCTACTCACCGGGCTTCCATGTCCACGATGTTCAGTGTGTCTTCCAAGAGGCGTGTCTTGAGGTCGTGGTCTTCCTGGCTGCTAGCGGTCAGAGAAGGCGAGGCATTGACCTCTAGCAGCCACCTGTGCGGGACAGCGCAAAGAAGGTCAGAGGCAAAAGAGCATTCGTCGCATGCTAAGCTTGGACGGGAAGCTGGAGATGGATCTAATCCAATTGTTTGGAATTGTGGAGTTCTTTTTTGGCTGATGTTTCGTGACCCAACCAGGGAGCATCATCAGTGCTGGAAGGAAGGAGGAGGACGACGACAACTGTGGGGTCCCTGGTGTCCTCTGAGCTTGGTTGTTTTCTTGCAGACGTCTCATGACCCAACTAGGGAACATCATCAGTGCTAGAAGGGAGTGGGCTTGTGTGGAGGAGGAGGAGGAGGAGGAAGGACTCTGGGGTCCTTGGATGTCTCTGAGCTTAGATGTTTTCTCGTAGACGTTTCATGACCCAAGTAGGGAACATCGTCAGTGCTAGAAGGGAGATGGAGGAGGAGGAGGACTATGGGGTCCTTGGAAGTCTCTACACTTGGCTGTTTTCTTGGAGACATTTAATGACCCAACTAGCAAACATCATCAGTGCTAGAAGGGAGAGGAGGAGAACTGATGCTCTCTGAGCTTGATTGTTTCCTTGTAGACGTTTTATGACCCAACTAGGGAACATCAGCAGTGCTAGAATTGAGAGGGGGAGTGGGAGGAGGAAGAGGACTGTGAGGTCCTTGGTGCTGTCTGGGCTTGGTGGTTTCCTCGCAGACATTTCATGACCCAACTAGGAGACATCATCAGGGCTTGAAACTGCCCTCCCTTCTAGCCCTGATGACGTTCGCTAGCTGGGTCGCGAAACATCTGCAAAGAAAAGCAACGAAGATCGGAGAGCACCAGGTACCCACTCGCTCACCCACGTTGAGCCAAAGAACAAATAGCCCTCAGCTTACGACGCCAATCGGGATCAGCATTTCCCTCGCTAAGCCAGTTGGTTATCGCCTTGCTGTCTGGCTGGGGCACTCTGGGAAGTTGAAGTCCCCCTGCCTCGAAAGGCCAAAGGTCGGGAGAGGCTATCGGAAGTCCACCCTCCTGCTCCCGCCCTCCTTACGGCTTGAGGTTCTGGTCGATCAGGATGTCGTAACCGTAGAGCTCAAAGCAGTGCTTGTCGCTGATGATGACCTTCTGGACGCTTTGAAGGCTCTTGATGAAAATGTTGTCCATCTCGGAGAAGAGCATCTCCACAGCTTCGGCCCCGTGCTTGGCCGTCAGGTAAAGGCGGAATTGCTGGATCATCCACTTGCAGCCCTGCCAGGGAAGAACGCCGACAGGCGTGGAGGACGGCCTTCGCCTCGGGCCGAGGAGCACCGGAGGGAAGACCAGGTCTGAGGTTCATCTCCAGAAATGGGAAACCCCCCCGCCCCCCAAGTTGCTTCTCTTTCTTTGGTGTTGTAACGTTGCTGCTGTCTCTGCCAGTCACCCCATCCACAGAGTTGGGGGTTTATTTCACACTTTACCGGTCAATTTGTGGGGTCCTTGGAGCTTGGTCGTTTTCTTGCAGACACTTTATGACCCAACTAGGGAACACCATCAGTGCTAGAAGGGAGTGGGGTTTGCAGGCAGGAGGAGGACTGTGGGGTCCTTGGTGCTCTCTGAGCTGGGTGGTTTTCTAGCAGACATTTCATGATTCAACTATGGAACATCATCTGTGCTAGAAGGGGGGAGGAGGAGGAGGAGGAAAAAGACTGGGGTCTTGGGTGTTCTCTGAGCTTGGTGGTTTTCTTGTAGACATCTTATGACCCAACTAGGGAACATCATCAGTGCTAGAAGGGAGTTGGGTTTGCAGACAGGAGGAGAAGGAGGACTGTGGGGTCCTGGGTGCTCTCTGAGCTTGGTGGTTTTTGTTGCAGACATTTCATGACCCAACTAGGGAACATCATCAGTGCTAGAAGGGAGGGGTGTTTGTGGAGAGGAGGAGGACTGTGGGGTCCTGGGTGCTCTCTGAGCTTGGTGGTTTTCTTGCAGACATTTCATGACCCAACTAGGGAACATTATCAGTGCTAGAAGGGAGGAGGAGGAGGAGGAGGAGGGGGAAAAAGACTGTGGGGTCCTTGATGCTTTCTGAGCTTGGTGGTTTTCTTGCAGACGTTTCATAACCCAGCTAGGGAACATCATCAGTGCTAGAAGGGAATGGGGTTCGCAGGGGAGAGGAAGAGGAGGAGGACGGGGGGGGGGTGTCAAAATAACAAATAGCTGCCTTGGTGCTCTGTTCTTATTTTCTGCCTAATTTTAAAAACGGGAGTCTCGCCAACTGCTCAGACAACTACTCTATGGTCTTATAAGGTGAGGAATAAAAAGCTATAAAGGGAACTTTTTTTTAAAAAAAAAGGCTTACTTTTTCGGGATCGTAGTCAGGGGCTGTCTTCTGCACAGCGACGTTGGTCAGATGAATATCTGGCATCGGGGTTGGAGCTAAGGATCGTGCGAATGGACAAAAAAACCGCACAAGTACTCCTCGACTTTCAATCGCTCAGAGTTACAACGGCACGGAAAACGTGATTCCCGCAAGAGCGACCGGCCTCACCGTTGTTGACTTCTCTGCTGCCTCCTTCAGCATCCCTGTGGATCTCCGCACAGAGGGTCTCTTTGCGTTGACACGGGACTAGAGGAGACAATCCAGTTACACACCACCTCGAGGAGTTGTGCATCTCTTTTAATGAGAGTGAAGAGTTCGTTCTCCGAGCTTGTGGGTTGGTTTCCGAAGCGTTTCGTTACCAGGCTAGGGTAACATCTCCAGCCAAGTTGAGAGGGTGTCAGTGTCCTTCTGTTTATAAGGGCTTCGGGTAGGGGTGTGTCGAGGATCTTGTGATGGGTCAGGTGTGAATCATCAGTGGGAGGCTTGGGATGGGTCTTGTGATGAGGTTACATCAGCTCAAGTTCCTTGGGAGGTGAACTGATGAGAGATGGGGGACTGCGCGGGATGGTTGAGGGTGCGGTTGATTTGGACTCTGAGGGGTTCACAGGCTGGTTGTAGGTCAGTGTGTCTGCTGATGGAATTGCCAGACCCATCACAAGACCCTCATTGGACACACCCACCCCTGAAGCCCTTGATGCCAACATCCCCTAAACCAGTGGTTCTCAACCTGTGAGTCGGGACCCCATTTGGGGTCGAACGACCATTTCACGGGGGTCGCCAAACAAGGCTGTCCGCCATTTTTTCCCCCTTTTCTTCGGCCACGCCCCTGGCACCTGGTGATGTATAAGTGGTTGGGGGTCACCACAACATGGGGAACTGTATTATGGGGTCGCAGCATTAGAAAGGTTGAGAACCACTGCCCTAAACCAAGGGTCTCCAACCCCCAGTACTGGGCCACGGCATGCCAGTAACCAGGCTGCACAAACAAGCAAATCCCTATCCGTGGGATGTAAGCAGCACACAAAACCATGCACCCTCTGCTCCACGGAAAAACCTCTCCACGTCACTGGTCCCTGGTGCCCAAAAGGTTGGGGACCCCTGCCTTAGTTCAGGGGTCCCCAATCCCTGGTCAGTGGACCGCTACTGGGCTGCGGCATGCCAACAACAGGCCGCACAAACAAGCAAATCCCTGTCCGCGGGATGCAGGCAGCACACAAAACCACGCACCTTTTGGTCCACGGAAAAACCTCTCCACGTAACTGGTCCCTGGTAACCAAAAGGTTGGGGACCACTGCCTTAGTTCAGGGGTCCCCAATCCCTGGTCAGTGGACCGCTACTGGGCTGCGGCATGCCAACAACCGGGCCGTAAAAACAAGCAAAGCCCTATCCGCAGGATGCAGGCAGCACACAAAACCACGCATGCTCTGGTCCACGAAAAAACCCTCTCTCCACGAAACCGGTCCCTGATGCCCAAAAGGTTGGGGACCCCTGCCCTAAACGCCACTGAAGATGTAACAAAATGCTCTGAAACCAACTCATAAGCTCGGAGAACGAAACTTCACTCTCATCCGACACCCAAGCTAGAGATATTGGCCACTATTGCAAATCTCTTTCAATCTCTTAAGGCAGTGTGGGGAACCATATGACTGGTGGATTGGCTGGCTCAGGAATTCTGGGAGTAGAAGTCCACCAGTCACAAAAGAGCCATGGTTCCCCCCACCTGCCTTAAGGTATCCTTTCTCAACCTTGCCTTCTGGGATTGGTTAGAAAACTCTGGGATGTTTTTTCTATTATTGTTCTTTTTTTTTTTAATCTAGTGGTTTTCGACCTATGGGTCGCGACTCCATTTGGGGTCGATCGACCATTTCACGGGGGTCACCAAGCAAGGCTGTCTGCCATTTTTTCCCCCTTTTCCGGCGGGTGCCTTACCTCCCTTGGGCTGTGCCAGCTGGTGGCCCAGCCGGTGGTCGGCCTGCTCCGTCTCTGCTGCTTGCCAGCTACGCCTTGGCCGGTGCAGGGGGTGGCACCGCGCATGCGCGGCGCTCCCGGGCAGGGAAAGTCCTCGACTTACGACCGGTTGGGTAGTCCTTGATTTACAACCGGTTTAGTTCTCAACTTACGACCGGTTTAGTCCTCGACTTACGACCGGTTGGGTAGTCCTTGACTTACGACCGGTTTAGTCCTCGCCATACGACCGGTTGGGGGTCGCGGCATTAAAAAGGTTGAGAACCACTGTTTTAATCCTTCCTAGCAAATGCCCCAGCCAGCAAGAGGGACTTCCTGCAGTTCGGTTGGGATCCCACCCACCCTGTGTATCGTCCCTGCCTCCCCCTCCCCAGTAGCGCCCTCCCCCAGGTCTCTCTGGAAGCAGGATACACTGATCGTCCAGGGTGTTCAGGGTGAACCGCGTGTTGGAGAAGCGAGCAAAACCGTCTCGGTACAACCACGCTTTGAGAGGGAGATACTGCGGAAAGAGAAGTTGGTTATCGGAGCCAGGATCGTCCCAGAGCTTTAAGATAGGTGGACCAACTCCCAGAATTCCCTATCCATCATGCTTGAGGATGAATGGACTTCAACTCCCAGAATCCCCCAGCCAGCATGCTTTAAGGTGGGTGGACTTCAATTCCCAGAATTCCCCAGCCAGCATGCTTAAGGATGAATGGACTTCAACTCCCAGAATCCCCTAGCCAGCATGCTTGAGGATGAATAGACTTCAACTCCCAGAATCCCCTAGCCAGCATGCTTGAGGATGAATGCACTTCAATTCCCAGAACCCCCCCAGCCAGCATGCTTTAGGATGAATGGACTTCAACTCCCAGAATTCCTCAGCCAGCATGAAGGTAGTCCTCAACTTACAACAGTAATGGAGCCTCTTAAGGTCATAAGTCCTGATGGTTTTAAAGCGGGTCATGAGTCCAGCCTGATTTTATGACCATTGGTTTGCAGCAAACCACTAACTGAATGTGACGGTCATAAAGCAAGCACCACAGTCATTAAGTGATGACTGCAGTCATTAAGTGAAGCCGTTGCTTGCTGTGAGGCATCTTTAATGAAAACCAGAAGTAAACATCCATTTGGGGCAAAAATGTCACACGCCGCTAACACGTGATGCAAGACCCTGGAAACAACAGCCTGGTTACTAAGCGCCCAAAACTCAGTCACGTGACCCCCCCCCCCAAAGTGGGTGGAGGCAGCCACCAGAACTACGGAGTTCACTTTATGACGGGCTGTCTTTGCTTAACGACGGCCATAAAGAAAGTCGTACAATTGGATCAGCGGTGACCTATGTCCATAACGGGCATTCTCCATCAACGATCACACGCCGAGGACTCTCTATACAGGCAGTCCTCAATTTACAATGGTTCATTTAGTGACCGTTCAAAATTACAACGGCAGTGAGGAAAGCAACCGGACCGTTTTTTTAATAGTTACAACCTTTGTAGTAATTATGGTCGTGTGATCAAAATTCAGAGGCTTGGCAACTGGTTCACGCTTAACGACGGTCGCTGGGTCCTGGGGTCACGTGATCCCCTCTGGCGACCTTCCAAGAAGCAAAGTCAACGGGGGAAACTGGATTCGCTTAACGACTGCAGGGATTCACCGAACTATGGCAAGAAAGGTCGTCAAATGGGGCAAAAGCCGCTTTGCAAAGGTCTCGCTTAACAGCAGAAAATTTGGGCCCGATTCTGGCCATAAGCCGAGGACTACCTGTGTTCCCAAAATCCCTTTCCCTTGGGTTTGGTTGAAAAGCCTTCCCACTGGGCTGGGAAGAGAAAGGAAGGGGGACTCACCGACGTTACCAAAACGTAGACCCGTAAGTCGAATTTCCGACCTGCGAACCAGAGAGAAATCAATTCATTAAACGCTCCGCTGTGATACGACAAGTCTTCAATCCGGGGGTCTCGAACCCCCGGTGTAGGGTCTCCTGCTTAGGCGGGGGGGTTGGACTAGATGATCTACAAGTACCCCTCCAAGTCGGTTATTCTAACCCTAACTCAGGGGTAGGCAACCATGGCTCTTTTATGACTCGTGGACTTCAACTCCCAGAATTCCTGATCCATCATGGGGGAACTATGGCTCCCTCATGACTCATGGACTTCAACTCCCAGAATTCCTGAGCCAGCATGCGGGAACTATGGCCCCTTCATGGCTTGTGGACTTCAACTCCCAGAATTCCTGAGCCAGCAGGGGGGAACTATGGCCCCCTCATGACTGGTGGACTTTAACTCCCAGAATTCCTGAGCCAGCATGGGGGAACTATGGCCCCCTCATGGCTTGTGGACTTCAACTCCCAGAATTCCTGGGCTAGCATGGCTGGCTCAGGAATTCTGGGAGTTGAAATCCACGAGTCATAAAAGAGCCAAGGTTGCCTACCCCTGGTGTAGGTCAAGGCTTTTCAACCCGTGGTGTGGGTACCACCTGTGGTCCATTGGCACCTGGCAGGTGGGACGCAACCATCCTAGAGAAGTGGTAGCAGGGGAGGGGAATGAGCTGAACCGGTGGCAGCACCGCACAAGCCTGAGCGAGAGACGGCTGGAGCTGCAGGGCTGTCAGGGCTCAGCGGAAGCCCCAGGATCAGTGCTAGGCTCCAGCTGATCGACGCTTCTTCGGGGCTGTCAGGGCTCAGCGGAAGCGCCAGCTGGAGCTTGGCACTAATCCTGGCACTTCTGCTGAGCCCAGAAGAAGCATCGATCAGCTGGAATGTTGCAGCCTCTCCAAGGTCTTGTGATTTACATTCAGAGGCTTGGCAACTGATTCCTATTTATGACGGTCACAGTGTCCCAGGGTCATGTGAAGTGACCAAAACCTGCTGCAACCACCCAGCAGACGGGGGGGGGAACCAAACCCCCCCCCCACTTCCACTGCCAATCCTCAACAGAAATGCTCACAACAATGAAAACCACGGACAGGAGGAAGAGCGCCACCAGGCGGGCAGGCAGGTGTCTTGCTCGGCTGTGACTTGGGGGGCACTTTTTTCAGTGCCACTGTAACTTTGAACAGTCACTAAGCGAACTGTTGTAAGTTGAGGACTACCTGTACTTTATCACTTTTTTCCCTTTTTTTCTTTTTTCTTTTTTTTCTTTTTTTTTTTGGTCATCAAGTTTTTGACCCCTTGCTAGGCGACTGGTGGTCCTCGGATGTTGCCATATCCTAAAAGTGGTACAGTGGATGAAAGCCTGGGGTTTATAAAACCTAACCCCTGGATGATTGTCTTTGTACTGTTTGTTTTGTTATGTTTTATGTGTTTTTTATTGTTAGCCGCCCAGAGTCCTTCGGGAGTGGGGCGGCTTATAAATTTTAAAAATAAAATAAAATAAAAATAAAAGGTTGAAAAGCCCTGGTGTAGGTGAACAGCAATAAAGGAACTACTCAGAAGTAACTCTTAAGTGTCATTCTTGGTTCTTTGCTCCCGACAGTAGATGCTGTTTAAGAAATTTGAACTCAGGACAGGGCTAGCTAGGAAACTCGATGTGCAGGTGGTCCTCCATTTACAACCGTTCATTTAGTGAGCGCTCAAAGTTACAAGGGACTGGAAAAAAAATGATTTAGGACTTTTTTATTCTGACAACTGTTGTGGCATTCCCAGGGTCACACGGTCAAAATTTGGACAGTTGGCAACTGATTCATACTTATGTCGGTCACAGCATCCCGGGGTCACTTGACCTCCTTTTATACAAGTAGTCCTCAACTTAATAAAGATTTGTTTAGTGACCATTCAAAGTGACCACAGCGACGTACGACTGTTTTTCACACTGACAACCTTGGCATCATCTCCCTGATCACGTGATCAACATTCGGCCGCTTAGCAAGTGATTCGTACTTACGACGGTTGCACTGTCCTGGGGTCAAGTGATCCCCTTTCACGACCTTCTAACAAGAGAAGTGACCAGAAAGGTCATAAAATGGGGCAAAACTCAGCTAATGAGTGTCTCATTTAGTGATGGACATTTGGGTCCCAATTTTGGCCGTAAGTCGAGGACTGCCAGCCTCCGGGTCCTGGGAACGGGCAACTTACCACCTATTAAGTACGGGTTCTCAATATAACGCTGAGCCACGTAATTCTCCACTGGGATGTCATCTTTCTGATCATCGGGGCGCACGGCATCCTGGGGAAGAAAGCGGGAGTCCTGGTGGGGTTAGGAAGAAGAACAAAACCAGGGCCTGCAGGGAGATATCGGGGGGGGAGGGGTCAAAAGCCAAGATGGCGCCATCGAAGACCTGACCTTTGTCCATGTGTGCAGGATCCCACAGTTGCAGCCTCCATTTTGACTTTGTGACCACCTGAGGATGGCCCTCTTATCTGGCCAGGATCTAGAACAGGGGTCTTCAAACTTGGCCCTTTTATGACTTGTGGACGTTAACTCCCAGAATTCCTCAGCCAGCTTTGCTTTGCTGGCTGAGGAATTCTGGGAGTTGAAGTCCACAAGTCATAAAAGGACCAAGTTTGAAGACCCCTGGTTTAACATGTCAATCAGGAACAGGAGAAAAAAATGAGTTTGAAGACCCCTGATCTAGAAGGACCAGCAAAGCTTCTAGATCAGGGGTGGGAAACTACGGGCCTTTTATGACCTGTGGACTTCAACTCCCAGAATTCCTCAGCCAGCCCCACGTCATAAAAGGCCCATAATTCCCTGCCCTGATCTAGATGATCAAAGAAGGAGCAGCCGAGCAGCCTTCTAGATCATGAAAGAAGGAGCAGCTCCTCCTAGATCAGGGGTCTGCTCCTTCTTTGATCATCTAGATCAGGGTGGGGGCCATTATATGACGTGGCTGGCTCAGGAATTCTGGGAGCTCAAGTCCACAGGTCACAAAAGGGCCTTAGTTCCACACCCCCGTTCTAGACGACCAGAGGAGCCTTCTAGATCACGAGAGGCGCAGCAAAGGACCCTTCTAGATCGTCAAAGAAGGAGCAGCTTCTAGATCAGGAGTCTGCTCCTTGGACCGTCTAGATCAGGGATGAGGAACTATGGCCCTTTTATGACTTGTGGACTTCAACTCCCAGAATTCTTCAGCCAGCATGGGGTCGAAGTCCATAAGTCTTAAACGTTACCAAGGTTGGAGACCCCTGTTCTAGATCATCAGAGCTTCTGAGAAGCCCAGAGATGGCTGTGAGGAACCAAGGTGGAGTATTGCCAGGAGATTGGTGAGGCAGGAGCCCCAGCTGATGCAGAACAAGCCATCCCGCTGTCCCCAAGGGGTCACGTGAAACAGACCCCCCACTAGGCTGATCTTTACGTGGTTTGGTTTCAGGGGGACATAGGTACGGAGAACCACCACGAACCCTTGGAGATAGGCTAGATCAGTGGTTCTCAACCTTTTTAATGCCGCGACCCCCAACCGGTCGTAAGTCGAGGACTACTCCACCGGTCGTAAGTCGAGGACTACTCCACCGGTCGTAAGTCAAGGACTACTCAACCGGTCGTAAGTCGAGGACTACTCAACTGGTGCAGCACCGTTTGCAGAATGGGACTTTTGGCGGGCTCAACAGGGCAGAGACAGCCTGGACAATTCCTATTGGTTTTGGAAAGCCAATAGAATTAGACTCTATTCAAGAGAGTCGCTTCTATTGGCTTTCAAAAGCCAATAGAATAAAAGGGAGGAGCACAGCTAAGGAAAAGGGGGGAAAAAATGGCGGACTGCGTTGTTTGGTGACCCCCATGAAATGGTCATTCGACCCCAAATGAGGTCCCGACCCACAGGTTGAGAACCACTGGGCTAGATAAAGAACCAGGAATGGCATGGGTTGTGCTCATGCTTTGTCTTGGGGAAGACAGAAGAACAGAATTGTGAAACTTGTCCTCTTCCACCTAACAGAATCAAGGTGGTGGGCTTCTTCCTTGCACCTTCCTGTTTCCTGGGACCCGGTTGACTTTTCTCCTCCTTAATGGTCCCATCTCTTCTCCCCTTCCCAAAGTCGGGTCTACATTCCTTCCCAACTATGGTCAACCCAGGAGCTTTTTGGAGAGGTGGTCTCAATGGGTTCTCCAAACAGATGGATCCATCTGACCTCCTCCTCCTCCTCCTGCCTCTCCCCTTAGGAGCCTTCTGGAGAGGCTGGAGGAGAAGATGACGTTCCTCCATTCAGCACCTCAAGAGCTTCGGTCTCGGATAAGACAGCATGGGAAGCCACCTGAGATGCCAGCCATGTGGAGAAAGGACAAGCATCCTTTCCAGACCAGAAGCCGTTCAGCCACGGAGAACCTGAGAAGGTCCACGTGGGCTGGCTCCATCACAGAAGCTCAGGAGGACAGCCCCACTTCCATAGTGGACCAGCCCTGGATCTAAGGGCCAAAAGAAAAATGGAGGCACCATCCTGGAGCAGCTGAAGCCCACAGGGCCGCTCACCGAGCCGAGCTTCAAGGTGGGCTCTTCCCAACTAATCCCTTCCTCAGAGGTGAGAAGAAAGAGGAGGAAGCATCTCACCTTCCTCCAGTCAATCACATCCTTGAGTTTCCGGAAGAGGAAAATGCCCCTCCCTTGAGACCGGGCAACCTGGGGGAGACAAAAGAAAAGAGTCACTCACCTTCATAATAGGTAGGTAGGTAGGTAGGTAGGTAGGTAGGTAGATAGATAGATAGATAGATAGATAGATAGATAGATAGATAGATAGATAGATAGATAGATAGAAGCACCTAGAACAGTAGTTCTCAACTTTTTTAATGCCGCGACCCCAACCGGTTGTAAATTGAGGACTACTCAACCGGTCGTAAATCAAGGACTACTCAACTGGTACAGCACCGTTTGCAGAATGGGACTTTTGGTGGGCTCAGCAGGGCAGAGACAGCCTGGACAATTCCTATTGGCTTTTGAAAGCCAATAGAATTAGACTCTACTCAAGAGAGTCTCTTCTATTGGCTTTCAAAAGCCAATAGAATAAAAGGGAGTAGCACAGCTAAGTAAAAGGGGAAAAAAATGGCGGACTGCGTTGTTTGGCGACCCCCGTGAAATGATCTTTTGACCCCAAATGGGGTCCTGACCCACAGGTTGAGAACCACTGACCTAGAAGCATGAAGCCGAAAACACCAGCCTGAAGATGACGAATGGGACTTTGTCGAAACGTTGCCAAGACACTTCCAATTTTACGCGGGAGAAAACCCGAATAACCAAAGACCTAGATAGATAGATAGGTAGGTAGGTAGGTAGATAGATAGATAGATAGATAGATAGATAGATAGATAGATAGATAGATAGATAGATAGATAGATAGATAGATAGATAGATAGATAGAAGTTGGAAGGGACCTTGGACGTCATCTAGCCCAACCCCCTGCTCAAGCAGGAAACCCTATACCATTTCAGACAAAACATGGCTAATTCAGACATACAGATAATCCTCAACTTAACAACCGTCCGCTTAGTGACCGTTGGAAGTTACAACGGCGCTGAAAAAAGTAACAGGACCATCTTTCACACTTAACGACCGTCGCAGCATCTTCCCCGTCACGTGCTCAAAATTCAGACGCTCGGCAACTGGCATGTACTTCTGACCGTTGCAATGTCCCGGTGGGTCACATGATCGGCGACCTTCTTAATGACCGTGTTACTAACGTAACAACTGCAGTGTTATTAACACGCCTGGCAAGAAACGGGCCGTAAAACGGGGCAAAACTCACTCCTCTCTCCAACTGCTTTTCTTTCTATTTCCATCTCCCTTCCTCCTCCTCCTTCCCCCCCCCTTACCGGTTTCATGATCCAGGTGATGCCGGGGTTCTTCCGAAACTCTTCCACAAACAGGTGATACTCGGAGGGCATCTCGAACGTCTTGGGAAAGAAGTCACATTTGGTGGCCTCCAGCTTCCCGGACTCCCTCTCCAGCTGTTTCCGGAGGCGCTTCAGGTTTTTCACGGTGTAGTTTTTCCGAGTCAGCTGCGGGGGGGGGGGGGAGATGGATGGGAGAACTATTTCAGCCAAGGGTGCCCTGGCTCGGTCCCATCTGGATCAGAACTGGCTCTCAGTGGAAGCTCATTCCACACTGTTCTTCATTTGGGAAAGAAGCTGAACGGGAGCGGGTTCTAGGAATCTTCCCCCCCCACCAGCCATAATCCTGCATCTGGAGGGGGAGAGGTCAAGGGGTTAAGGCCATGATTTCCTAGGCTAGCAGATCTCAGCTTAATACCCTGATTGGGTACGTCTAGTATTGGGTCAGCAACCTTGGCTCTTTTATGACTGGTGGACTTCAACTCCCAGAATTCCTGAGCCAGCATGGGGAACTATGGCCCCCTCATGATTCGTGGACTTCAACTCCCAGAATTCCTGAGCCAGCATAGCTCAGCTTGGAAACCTCTCCCTTTCCCCTCAGCATGGCTGGCTCAGGAATTCTGGGAGTTGAAGTCCACCAGTCATAAAAGAGCCAAGGTTGCCTAGCCCTGTCCAAATGCCTGAATTCTGATCATGTGACCGTGAGGAAAAAAATATTTAAATATTTAAATCAGGGGTCTTCACACTTGGCCCTTTTATGACTGGTGGACTTCAACTCCAGGATTCCTGAGCCAACCTGGCTCAGCTTGGAAACCTCTCCCTTTCCCCTCAGCATAGCTGGCTGAGGAATTCTGGGAGTTGAAGTCCACAAGTCATGAGGGGCCATAGTTCCCCCATGCTGGCTCAGGAATTCTGGGAGTTGAAGTCCACGAGTCCTAAAAGAGCCAAGGGTGCCTACCCCTGGTCTAGTTTAAAGAAGGGAAAAAAAGGACCAGGGGTGACAGGATAGCAGTCTTCCAATATTTGAGGGGCTGCTACAAAGAACAGGAGGGGGGGGGTCCACCTATTCTCCAAAGCCCCTGAAGGCAGGACAAGAAGCAACGGATGGAGAGAAGCAACCTGACCGTGAGAACAGTTAATCAGTGGAACAACCTGCCTCCAGAAGTTGTGGGTGCTCCATCACTGGAGGTTTGCAAGAAAAGATTGATTTGTTTGGAATGATATATAAGAACTTTGCTTTGAACAGGGGTTGGACTAGAAGACCTCCAAGGTCCCTTCCAAGTCTGTCATTCTCTTCTGTTAGTTTAATGAAGAGAAGGACGAGGGGGGACATGATAGCAGCCTTCCAATATCTCAGGGGCTGCCCTCAAGAAGAGGGAGTCAAGCTGTTCTCCCAAGTGCCAGAAGGCAGGACAAGAAGCAACAGATGGAAACTAATCAAGGAGAGAAGCAACCTAGAACTAAGGAGAAACTTTCTGACAGTGAGAACAATTAATCAATGGAACAGAACTTCAGAAATTGTGGGTGCTCCATCACTGGAGGTTTTCAAGGAAAGATTGGGCTTGGTTGACACACACCCCCCCCCGCGCTCCCCCTTCTCCCTGCCCCAGTTTTGCCCACCTCGTAATGGTTGCGGAAGTGGCTGATGCGGACGTGCTCGTCCATGTAGGTGTGGTCGAAGTTCTCCTGCAGCCAGCGGACGTCACACCAGTAAAAATCCCACTCGCCCTCGCTGGGAAGGGAGGCCAAACAGAGAGGGGTCAGCCAGCAACTCTTTGACTACACAACCTGTGGATCTAAAATGCTCCAGTCAACATCAAGAGGTTTCTGAACTGCCCAGCGTGCAAGGATGGGGAAAAGCAACCCCCCCCCCCCCGGAAGTGGGAGAAGCATCATGACAAAGAAACAGGCTTTGGAAAACAGCAAGCGGAGCCCGGGGGATTCTGGGAGTTGAAGTCCACCCATCTTCAAAGGGTATAAGAAAACCTCAGGCTAAGGTTTACACCGCTGAACGGTTTAAAAAGGCAGAGACGTTTGCGTCGACCGCAAGTTCTAAAAGGTCAGTGTTGAGAAGGCTAAAATTGTTTACATTTCACACCAAAGGCAAAATAGGGTATTAATAAATGAAGGCAAAATACACCCCATTTGATTGGCAGGTGATTGGGCTCAATCCGCAGCCTGAGAAAGGACGGAGTCTCTGCGATTGGTAGTTTTCTTGGAGGCGTTTCACGACCCAACTAGGTAGTATCATCAATGATGGAAGGGAGCGGGCTTTGCAGGCGGGAGGAGGAGGAGGACTATGGAGTCCTTGGGGCTCTCTGAGCTTGGTTGCTTTCTGCAGACGTTTTATGACCCAACTAGGTGACATCATCAGTGCTAGAAGTGAGTGGATTTGTTCTCTGTATGTATGTATGTATGTATGTATGTATGTATGTGTGTGTGTGTGTGTGTGTATACATACATACACACATACACACACACACAATCACACACACACACACACAAACACATATTTGACAGGGCAAGGCTCTTGTGTATAGGCAAAGAGCAAACCCACTTCTATTTAGCACTGATGATGTTACCTAGTTGGGTCGTGAAACTTGTGCAGAAAAACAACCAAGCTCAGAGAGCATCAAGGACCTCACAGTCTTTTTCTTCCTCTTCCTCCTCCTCCTCCTCCTCCTCCTCCTCCTCCTTCTCTCATCCCACTCCCTTCTAGCACTGATGATGTATCCTAGTTGGGTCATGAAACGTCTGCAAGAAAACCACCCGGCTTAGAGAGCACCAAGGACCCCACAGCCCTCCTCCTCCTCCTCCTCCCACCCCACTCCCTTCTAGTCCTGATGATGTTACCTAGTTGGGTCATGAAATGTCTGCAAGAGTACCAAGGACCCCACAGTCCTCCTCCCATCCTTCTCCCTTCTATTACTGATGATGTTGTCTAGCTGGGTCATGAAATGTCTGCAAGAAAACCAGCCAGCTCAGAGACCATCAAGGACCCCACAGTCATCCTCCTCATCCTCCTCATCCTCTTCCTCCTCCTCCCCCCACCCCACTCCCTTCTAATACTGACGATGTTACCTAGCTGGGTCATGAAACGTCTGCAAGAAAACCACCCAGCTCAGAGAGCACCAAGGATTCCTCATTTCAACCCTGAACTGCAGACATTCTCCTTGATCGAAGGAATCTCCCTAAACCTTGAATCAAAGGTCTAATCCTTGATCTCAGATAACCCCATTCAGAAGAAGCTCCAGATTTTTGAATCTGCCCCCCCCCCCCCAGAAACCAGCAATTCTGCTTTTTCCCTAAGCTTAGCGGAGGAGAGAACCGTCTTCCCGGGCCCTGCCAGCTTTTATCATCCCCGTCATAATATATAATATCTTACTCTTTGACTTCCACCCATCCAGGTCGCTGCTGAAGGACATCTAAGATGGTGTTGGTGAGGGCACACTTGAATCGGATGGAAGCCCGGGGTTCCCTGTTCCAAAATATAGATCTGCATTATATATTAAAATTAAAAATCCTTTTTTCTTTCCCAAATGGCGAGAACATTTTTTAGATGGGAAGAAATCCATTTGCTCTTTTCTTTATAGGGGCCTAAGATGAAAAAGAGAGTGAAGAAGGATCAAGATTGCACAATTCTTGGGTTTACGGCTGCTTTGGTCTGTTTTAACAGGTCTCTAGTCCTCATGAAGCATAAGCGGGATAACATACAGGTAGTCCTTGACTTACGACCAGTCGCTTAGCGACGATTCAAAGTTACGCCAGACCCCCCCCCAAAAAAAGGTACTTGTGACCTGGATTCTTGGGGTCACCTGACCCCATTTTGGGGCACTCTGCAACTGGCCTGGATTTATAGCCATTTACACAATGTGTAAATTTACACACACAGCCATTTACACAATTTGTTTTGCCCTGAAACTGGCATATGCTTTCCAGCTTCAGGCAAAAACCACCCCCTAGCAAACAGTGGATTTGTTTAATGACCTCAAGATCATTTAATGACTGCATTGCTAGTGTGCCAATCATTTTGACGATGACATCAAGATATGTCATAGTCATCTGGCATAAGCCGTTACGATGTCACACGGTGTCATGAGATCTCCGTGCAAATGAAGCCGATTTATTAGCACCCCAAATTCTATAAAGGCAGTCCTTGTTCACTGATGGCTTCATTCAGTGGCCATTCACAGTTATTACAGCAGGGGTCTTCAAACTTGGCCCTTTTATGACTTGTGGACTTGAACTCCCAGAATTCCTCAGCCAGCATGCACGCTGGCTGAGGAATTCTGGGAGTTGAAGTCCACAAGTCATAAAAGGGCCAAGTTTGAAGACCCCAGAGAAGAGCCACAAAGAGGATCAGGGGACTGGAGGCTAAAACATATAAGGAAAGGTTGCTGGAATTGGGTATGTCTAGTTTAACGAAGAGAAGGACAAGGGGGAGCATGATAGCAGTATTCCAATATCTCAGGGGCTGCCCCAAAGAAGAGGGAGTCAAGCTCTTCTCCAAAACACCTGAAGGCAGGACAAGAAGCAACAGATGGAACCTAATCAAGCAGAGAAGCAACCTAGAACTAAGGAGAAACTTCCTGACAGTGAGGACAATTAACCAGTGGAACTACCTGCCTCCAGAAGTGGTGAATGCTCTAACACTGGAAGTTTTTACAAAGAGACTGGACAGCCATTTGTCTGAAATGGTATAGGGTTTACTGCTTGAGTAGGGGGTTGGACTAGATGGCCTCTAAGGTCCCTTCCAACTTTATTATTATTATTTTGGATCATTGCACAGTCAGCCAGATGTTCAGACTGGATTTGGCATTTTGTCTATCTATCGAGTCCTTACCCAGGACCTGGGATAGGCAGATGTGGATGTTTGATGGTATTACAGATATCGTCACAGGATGGAAGCAGTTCCTAGTAAGGCCACTGCTTCCATCCTGCGACAATATAATTATTATTATTACTGTTACTATTATTGATCATCGCACAGTCAGCCAGATGTTCAGACTAGATTGGCATTTTGTCTACCTATCGAGTCCTTACCCAGGACATGGGATAGATAGGCAGATGTTGTTGTTATTATTATTATTCACAAACAGGCACACAGGTATTGTCAGCGGCTGGTTCCAACTCTCTTCTTTGTTTATACTTTTTTTTAATATTAAAAAAACCCCAAACAAATCACTCACCGTTCTTTCAGCTTTTGGCAACCGTACGGCCCTTTGTGGTTTGCGTTCTGCAAGGCGATCAAATTTACAAATTCTTTACCGTTTCGAAATAACTTGGTGCCTCTTTGGGATGATTCCGAATAAGCCACGATTCCTTTGAATTTTGCTGGCCGCAATCGGTTGGCATCGTGCAACACATGTGAGGCCTCCCAATTTACCCATGTACCCCATGTACCCCACCCTGGGAGGGGTGTTCGAGCACAAGGATTACAAACTCCATCATCCCCTCCAGGAGCATGGTCAACATTTGGCTCAACGACTGCAGCGGCAGTTGGGCAAGACTGGACTCTACATAGTCCCCAGTGGCTGTATTCCGCCCCAGACCTGTCCCCACAAGCCCAGCTAGCCCGGCTGGGGATGATGGGCTTTGGAAAGGGCTGGAAAAAGCGACGACCCCTCCCTGTTTGGGGGTGGGATGCCCGGCAGTTGGAAAGACTGGACTCTCCATAGTCCCCAGCAGCTGTATTCCACCCCAGACCTCTCCCCACTGGCTCAGCTCGCCCAGCTGGGGATGATGGGCTGTGGAGAAAGTGACGACCCCTCCTTGGTTGGGGGTGGGATGCCCAGCAGTTGGGAAGACTGGACTCTCCATAGTCCCCAGCGGCTGTATTCCGCCCCAGACCTGTCCCCGCTCGCCCAGCTCGCCCGGCTGGGGATGATGGGCTTTAGAAAGGGCTTGAGAAAGCGACGCCCCCCTCCCCGGTAGGGGGGGATACCCGGCAGTTGGGAAGACTGGACTCTCCATCATCCCCAGCGGCTGTATTCCGCCCCAGACCTCTCCCCACCCGCCCAGCTCGCCCGGCTGGGGATGATGGGCTTTGGAAAGGGCTAGAGAAAGCGACGACCCCTCCCTGGTTGGGGGTGGGATGCCCGGCAGTTGGGCAAGACTGAACTATCTATCGTTCCCAGCGGCTGTATTCCGCCCCAGACCTCTCCCCTCCCGCCTCAGCTCGCCCGGTTGGGGATGATGGGCTTTGGAAAAGGCTGGAGAAAGCGACGACCCCTCCCTGGTTGGGGGTGGGATGCCCGGCAGTTGGGCAAGATTGGACTATCCATCGTTCCCAGCGGCTGTATTCCGCCCCAGACCTCTCCCCACCCGCCCAGCTCGCCCGGCTGGGGACGATGGGGTTGGAGAAGGCGACGCCCCCTCCCCGGTGGGAGGGATTCCCGCCCCCCCCGCCTCCCCCACCTTGTTCTTGGCCATGCTGCTCCTTCCCCCGATGCGCGTCCCGTCGCCGGGGCAACCAGGACTTCCATGGGCGGGGCTTAGTGGGGAGGGGCGGAGGAAAGTTTCTCCCCCCCCCGCCGCCCCATTATTGCATGAGGGTAGGTGGTCCCGCCCCGCTTCGGCTCTTCTGCACCGGGCAGCGCAATGCTAAAAAAAGGGGGGAGTCGCAACTTGGGAGGGGGGAGAGGCGCTTCTGCCTCCTCGGGAGTAACGCTCCGCCGTGGCCGGGCATCCAAGCTGCGATCCCCGGACGCCCCCCCCCCGGGGATCTTGCAATTCCCTCCTTCCCCCCCCCTCCACGACCTGTTCCGCAGTTGCGACCCCCGAGGCGCCTCTTGCGCTGCGCGGGCTGGAAAAGATCCGTGGGAGGAAAGCGGAGGGAGGGAGACCCCCCCCTCAAAAGTGGGGCTCTGGGTTCCTCTGGATGGGACTCTGCAGGGTTCCCGTGGGAAGCCCAGGTTTGGGATACAGAGAAGAGCAACAAAGATGATTAGAGGTCTGGAGGCTAAAACATATGAAGAAGGGTTGCTGGAATTGGGGATGTCTAGTTTAAGGAAGAGAAGGTCGAGGGGGGACATGATAGTAGCCTTCCACTATCTCAGGGGCTGCCCCAAAGAAGAGGGAGTCAAGCTATCCTCCAAAGCGCCTGAATGTAGGACAAGAAGCAACGGATGGAAACTCATCAAGGAGAGAAGCAACCTGGAACTAAGGAGAAACTTCCTGACAGTGAGAACAATTAACGTGGAACAACCTGCCTCCAGAAGCAGTAAATGCTCCAACACTGGAAGTTTTTAAGAAGAGACTGGACAGCCATTTGTCCAAAATAGTATAGAGTTTCCTGCCTGAGCAGGGGGTTGGACTAGATGACCTCCCTTCCAACTATTATTCTATTCTATTCTATTCTATTCTATTCTATTCCATTCCATTCCATTCTATTCTCCAAAGCACCTGAAGGCAGGACAAGAAGGAATGGATGGGAACTAACCAAGGAGAGAAGCAACCTGGAACTAAGGAGAAACTTCCTGACAGTTAGAACAATTAACCCGTGGAACAACCTGCCTCCAGAAGCGGGGAATGCTCCAACACTGGAAGTTTTTAAGAAGAGACTGGACAGCCATTTGTCCGAAATGGTATAGGGTTTCCTGCCTGAGCAGGGGGTTGGACTAGATGACCTCCAAGCTCCCTTCCAACTCTATTGGTTTATTCTTCTTCCTATTGCCCAACAGATCCCAGTGGCTGCAAGGGAACTCCTTCTTCCTCAATATCCCCCCCCCCCAAATCACCCTGGGGCAAGGTGGCCTTGATCCCGCAGGGTCTATTTTGAGCAGGTGACCTCCGAGGACTCAATCACTTCCCGCAGGCAGTGCCAGCTTGGCACATTCCAGCGGCTTGGGAACATTGCATTCCCCAGTTCTCCCTCCCTTCCTCCTCCCCCCCCCCACGCTTCTAGGAATTACTCTCCGTATTCAGCCCCAGAAGGACCCCCACCCCCCTGCTTTCCCCTTGCCGCTGCTCGCTCTGGGCCAGTCCGTTTCACCCGTGGTACCAATGCTTGCCCAGAAACCCCACTCTCCTCCAAAGTCTGGGGGGGGGCTCCCAGAACTGGGGTGGAGGGGGTGGGCTTTGTTTTGCGAATACCGGCTATCCTGGGGTCCGTTCCCCCCACCCATCCACCCCGGGCCAGGTGCCAAGGCGCGATACCAAGAAGACACAGCTGCTTTCCATGGGAGAAGAAAGAATGCATTCTCTTGCACACAAAGCATTTGCGTTGTGCACTTGTCATAGCCACGCAACCAGGCCAGGGTGCTCTCTCTCTCCCTCCCCCCTCCTTTTCAGGGAGGTGGGGGTCTTCCTCTGGCCTGCCAACCCTTCGAAAAGGCATTTTGATAGGAGGAAATAAGCTTTTCTCGGAGGAGGGGAAAATGACTGTGCAACGCAAGGCCTCTGCCGATTGATTCCCTACCACGAAATACGCAGCTGTCGCTGGGGGGGGGGGGAAGGAATTGCTCTTTTTTGGGGGACGGGCCAAGGACGGGAACGAGAGCCGCAAGCCTGGGGGTGTAAATCTTGACCCAGAGCTTGCCCAGGGAAGCAGCCATCGGCTGGACGTTTGGACAAAGAGGGGGAAACCGTGTCCAGGATATTCGCTCTGCCTTGCAAGCTGCAGCTAAGGTGACTTTGAAGGATCATGGGCAACAGCATGAATAAGGTACGGAATCCATTCTCCCCCCACCACCACCACTTTTTAATTTAATTTATATATATATATATAATATCTTCAGGAAGTTTCGACATCCTACATTCAAAGCGACTTAAAATGGGAAGGGGAAGGACAAAGCAGGTTAAAAATGCCCCTTCCCCAAATGATATCTAGAAAGGAGAAAATTCCTGACCGGCAGAACAAATAACCAGTGGAACTACCTGCCTCCAGAAGCGGTGAATGCTCCAACACTGGAAGTTTTTAAGAAGAGACTGGACAGCCCTTTGTCTGACATGGTGTATTGTTTTTGTGATTAATCACTATGCTTTAACTATGTTCAATTCCTAACAATGAAAATACACCCTGCATATCAGATATTTACATTACGATTCAAAACAGTAGCAAAATTACAGTTATGAAGTAGCAATGAAAATAATTTTATGGTTGGGGGTCACCACAACATGAGCAACTGTATTAAAGGGTCGCGGCATTAGGAAGGTTGAGAACCACTGGTATAGGGTTTCCTGCCTGAACAGGGGGTTGGACTAGATGACCTCCAAGGTACCAACTTATTATTATTATTACTATTACTATTATTATTATTATTATTATTATTATTATTATTATGGGTCATCGCACAGTCAGCCAGATGTTCAGACTGGATTTGGCATTTTGTTTACCTATCGAGTCCTTACCCAGGACCTGGGATTATTAATATTATTATTATTATTATTATTATTAATAGTAGTAGTAGTAGTAGTAGTAGTAGTAGTAGTAGTAGTAGTAGATATATTTTATGGATTGGGGTTGTTTCTCTAGCTTCAAGAGTAGTTCTTGTGTTGTCAACTTTCTTTGAGTACTGTGATATAAAGTCGCAGGGCTGGCTCACCTTGGTGGGGTGTTGTGTGTTGTGAGACACTTGGGGGTGTCTCTTGTGAGATACTTGTGGGTGTCACAGGAAATGTTCTGGAGCAGAAACCAAGAGATGCGAGTGCTAATCCTGCCTCGGGCATGAAAAAAAATGAGCTAGGTGGCTTTGAACTGTCACTCTGAAATTTGTTGATTTTTTTTCCCCCACTTCTTCCTCGTTGTCTGGCTTTGCGTGAGGCATTAAACCCTAAGCTGGGGTTTTAACCAACACATGTAATATCTTAGGCCTGCAGAAATAAATTACAAGTAGTCCTTGACTTGGGGGCTAGACTAGAAGACCTCCAAGGTCTCTTCCAGCTTCTAGTCTAGTCTAGTCTTATTTCCTATTCTGTTCTGTTCTATTCCATTCCATTCCATCCCATATTCCATTCCATTCCATATTCCATTCCATTCCATATTCCATTCCATATTCTATTCTATTCTGTTCTGTTCCGTTCTGTTCCGTTCCATTCCATTCCATATTTTTATTCTATTCTATTCTATTCCATTCCATTCCATCTCCATCCCATTCCATATTCCATATTCCATTCCATTCCATTCCATTCCATATTCCATTCCATTCCATTCCATATTCTATTCTGTTCTGCTCCGTTCCGTTCCGTTCCGTTCCATTCCATATTTTTATTCTATTCCATTCCATCCCATCCCATCCCATTCCTTATTCCATTCCATCCCATTCCATATTCCATTCCATTCCATATTCTATTCTGTTCTGTTCTGTTCTGTTCTGTTCCATTCCATTCTATTCCATTCCATTCCATTCTATTCTATATTTTTATTCCATTCTATTCCATCCCATCCCATCCCATCCCATTCCATATTCCATTCCATTCCATTCCATATTCTATTCTATTCTATTCTATTCTATTCTATTCTATTCTATTCTATTCTATTCCATTCCATTCCATATTTTCTATTCTATTCTATTCTATTCTATTCTATTCTATTCTATTCTATTCTATTCTATTCTATTCTATTCTATTCTGATTCTGTTCTGATTCTATTCTATTCTATTCTGATTCTATTCTATTCTATTCTATTCTATTCTATTCTATTCTATTCTATTCTATTCTATTCTATTCTATTCTAATCTATTCCATTCCATTCCATTCCATTCCATTTTCTATTCTATTCTATTCTATTCTATTCTATTCTATTCTATTCTATTCTTGTGACCATTCAAAGTTACAACAGCATTTAAAAAGTGACTTATGACCCATTTTTCACACTTACAAACGTTGCAGCCTGCCCAGGGCCACATGATCAAAATTCAGCTGCTTGGCAACTGACTCGTATTTACGACAGTCGCAGCGTGCCTGGCTGAGGAATTCTGGGAGTTGAAGTCCACCAGTCATCAAAGGGCCAAGTTGGAAGACCCCTGGGTTAAACCCTAACCTGGAGTTTTAGCCAGCAGAAACAGGGGCTTCATATGGCATGAAGAAATAAATTATATTCAGATTTAATGCGATGCCCGAGGGTTGGCTTTGGGAGAAGCAATGAATCATGATCTGTTTGATTTCCCCCTGTAGACCAGGCCAGTCTGTTGTGTGAATCATAAAAAAGTATGTATACTAATACATTTTTTAAAAAATTCTTACAGATTCTTCCCGGTCTCTTTCTTGGGAACATCGTAGGTAAGTGAAGCATGAACTTGCCAGAGAGGTGGTGAATCAAGCTGGGGTGGGTGATTGGCATCTTCCCAGATTGGGCAAGTTGAAAGCACCCCCAGCTGGCAAATAGGTCTGCTTCACCTGGGCGGATCCCCCTGCAAGTGGATGGTTTGTTCCAGTGAGGAAGGCAGCAGGCAGGCCGGAAACCAGGAGGTGAGGAGTTCTAGTCCCGCCTTAGGCAGGAAAGCCGGGTGGGTGACTTTGGGCCAGTCCTTCTCTCTCTCTCTCTCTCTTTCTCTCCCTCCCTCCCTCCCTCCCTCTCTCTCTCTCTCCCTCCCTCTCTCTCTCCCTCCCCCTCCCTCCCTCCCTCCCTCTCTCTCCCTCCCTCCCTCTCTCTCCCTCCCTCCCTCCCTCTCTCTCTCTCCTCCCCCTCCCTCCCTCCCTCCCTCCCTCTCCCTCTCCTCCCTCTCTCTCTCCCTCTCCCTCCCTCCCTCCCTCCCTCCCTCCCTCCCCCCTCTCTCAGTCCAACCCCTTACAGGGTTGTGGTGGGGAGGAAAATAGGAGGAGAAAGGTGAGTTGGATGTATTTGTGGTCTCAAATTATTTGTAAAAATAATAAAGGTAAGAAAGAAAGAAAGAAAGAAAGAAAGAAAGAAAGAAAGAAAGAAAGAAAGAAAGAAAGAAAGAAAGAAAGGAAGGAAGGAAGGAAGGAAGGAAGGAAGGAAGGAAGGAAGGAAGGGGAGGAGGAGGAGGAGGGAGGGAGGGAGGAAGGGTGGGTGGGAGGAAGGAAGAGAAAGAAAGAAAAGAAAGAAAGAAAGAAAGGAAGGAAGAAAGAAAGAAAGAAAGAAAGAAAGAAAGGGAGGAAGGAAGGATGGGAGGAAGGAAGGAAGAGAGAGAGAAAGAAAGAAAGAAAGGGAGGGAGGGAGGAAGGGTGGGAGGAAGGAAGGAAGAGAAAAAGAAAGAAAGAAAGAAAGAAAGAAAGAAAGAGGGAGGGAGGGAGGGAGGATAGGAGGAAGGAAGGAACAGAGAGCGAGAAAGAAAGAGAAAGAAAGAAAGGGAGGGAGGGAGGAAGGGAGGAAGGGAGGAGGGAGAGAAAGAAAGAAAGAAAGAAGGAGGGAGGGAGGAAGGAAGGGAGAGAAAGAAAGAAAGAAAAAGAGGAAGGGAGGGAGGGAGGAAGGAAGGATGGGAGGAAGGAAGAGAAAGAAAGAAAAAAGAAAGGAAGAAAGGAAGGAAGGAAGGAGAGGGAGAGAAAGGAAAGGAAAGGGAAAGGGAAGGGAAAAAAAGAAAAGAAAGCCAGCTGGGTGACTTTGGCCCAATTCCTAGGAGACTGTGAGTTCTAGTTCCACCTTAGCCATGGAAGCCAGCTAGGTGATTTTGGGCCAATCGTTCTCGCTCAGCCCACCCTACAGGGCTGTTGTTTGGGACAAAACAGGAGGAGAAAGGAATATTAGCTCATGCGCGTCTCCTTGAGTTATTTATAAACAAAATAAGGACAGGATTTTTTTAAAAAAAAATCAAATCAATAAATCAGTGCCTGGAGCTGTGGCCAGGAGTAAAATGATAGTGTGTGTGTGTGTGTGTGTGTGTGTGTGTGTGTGTGAGAGAGAGAGAGAGAGAGAGAGAGAGAGAGTGTGTGTGTGTGTGTGTGTGTCTGTGTGTCTGTGTGTCAGGAAGCACAACCCCATCCCTGAAGCCCTTTCCGCAGTCTACGCGGAAGTAACTGAATGCAACAATCCTTCCCTGGTGCTCAGATACTGTCCAGTGTCCAGTTCTGTTGGCCTCAGCACCAGCTCCGGAAGGAACACTGCTGGCTGTGCATTATGGGTGTGTGGGCATGGGCGGCGGGGGGGGGGGGAACGTTACCCAAGTGGGTCACTGCCAGCTGTTCGGCCGTGCCTGAAAAAGGATCCGGGCACTCTCCCATCTGGCCTTCTAAGAACTCCTCAAAAAACATCCTATACAACCACACACAGACACACACAGACACACACACACTCACACACACCGCTTTGAAAACCCCAGGGGAGGGCGCAGCATTTTTTTCCAGTCCCGTTCTGACTTCCAACGGTCACTAAGCGAAGTCTCGTAAGGCCTACCTGTAATTTTGGGGGGGGGGGTTTCATGAAGAGAGTCCCAGAGGCCGAATTGCAAAGCGGAAAAACATGCCTCTAAGGCTCTGGAAAATGAGCCCACAGCTGGAATAAATAAAGAACAGCAATAATAATAATAATAATAATAATAATAATAATAATAATAATAATAATAATAATAACAACAACAACAACAACAACAACAAAACAAAACAAAACAAAACCAAAACAACTGGAGCACCACTTGAACACCATTGGCATTGACAAATTCGCTATTAGTCAATTGCAAAAGGCAGCCTTATTAGGAACTGCTTCCATCCTGCGACGATATCTGTAATACCATCAAACATCCACATCTGCCTATCCCAGGTCCTGGGTAAGGACTCGATAGGTAGACAAAATGCCAAATCCAGTCTGAACATCTGGCTGACTGTGCGATGATCCAAAATAATAATAATAATAAAAGCTGGAAAGGACCTTGGAGGTCATCTAGTCCAACCCCCTGCTCAGGCAGGAAACCCTATACCATTTCAGACAAATAGCTCTTCTTAAAAACTTCCAGGGTTGGAGGACCCACAACTTCTGGAGGCAGGTTGTTCCGCTGGTTAATTGTTCTCAATGTCAGGAAGTTCCAGGTTGCTTCTCTCCTTGACTAGTTTCCAGCTTTGATCCAGCAGATGCTAGAAATTAGCCAGCCGACTAATTTCTGCTATTTCAAATTATGTCCGGTGCTTGGAATTAGGATTTCTCGAAGAAAGTAATTAATAATTTGTATTTATTTATGGCCCAACACCCCAGGCTGGCTGCTTCAGGACCTCACCGTGGGTTAAGCATTTGGCACAGAGGTCAGGCCTCTGTGTGCATGTGACACACTGTGTCAGCGTTTCTGCAAAACGTGGGCTGAGAACATCTGCGCAGAACGGAGGACGTCTCTAACAATCGCTCTGTGTTCCTCCCCCTTCTCTCCTAGATGCCAAAGACCTGGATCAGCTGAGCAAGAATGATATCACTCACGTGATCTCTATCCACGAGTCTCCCCAGCCCTTCATTCCGGTATGGGGTCTATTCCATATTTTCTCTTCTCTTCTCTTCTCTTCTCTTCTCTTCTCTTCTCTTCTCTTCTCTTCTCTTCTCTTCTCTTCTCTCCTCTCCTCTCTTCTCTCCTCTCCTCTCTTCTCTCCTCTCCTCTCGTCTCCTCTCTCCTCTCCTCTCCTCTCGTCTCCTCTATTCTATTCTATTCTATTCTATTCTATTCCCCATTCCATATTCTACTCTATTCTATTCCCCATTCCATATTTTACTCTACTCTACTCTACTCTACTCTACTCTACTCTACTCTACTCTACTCTATTCCCCATTCCATATTCTATTCTATTCTATTCTATTCTATTCTATTCTATTCTATTCTATTCTATTCTATTCTATTCTATTCTATTCTATTCTATTCTGTATTTATTCTGTTCTATTCTATTCTGTTCTATTCTATTCTATTCATCTCCCTTTAGCAAGCTGTGGAGAACCTAAAAAGGAGTTGGGATTATCTTCAATGCTCATGACGCCTCTCTCTGATGGACTCGTTCTTCCCATCATCCCACACTAGTTTCTAGCTAGAGATAATCCAGGATAATCCTGAAGTCAGACTTACCCATAAAGGCTCTCAAAGCAAGAAGCTGTAGGACTCCAGAAGTTGACCTCAGGTTCTGGAGATGTTCCTCAACTGTCTTCATATTCTTTTCCAGGGAATCACTTATCTTCTAATTGTTCTGCCAGACACATCTGAGGCCAACATGTAAGTATTTATGTATTTATTCAGGCTAAATGTCGATGGAGATTCTCAGCCATCCGGGTGCTGGTTGTCCCAAAGGACCACCTGACCAGAGGGCAGTGGTGGCGAATCTATGGCACGGGTGCCAGAGGTGGCACACAGAGCTCTCTCTGTGGGCACGCGCGCCGTCGCCCCAATCCTAGGCCTTCAGCTGGGCTTTATAAAACCTTTTCACTTTAGGCCTCCGCTGCCATGTGCAAAAAAAAAAAAAAAAAAAGATTCAATCAGTCAATTTCAACTTCTCGCGGGAAAAAAAAAGATCTCGCAAAGTTGGAATTGATTGATTGAACTTTTTAGTCCCACCCACTCTGCCATTACCACCGCAGCCACGCCCACCCAATGGGCCACACCCACCCAGCACCGGATGATGCATAAGTGGGTTTTGGGTTGCAGTTTGGGCACTCGGTCTCTCAAAGGTTCGCCATCACTGGAATAGGGGAATACTGTGACGGTTGTTAAGTGTGAAAAGCGGTCCTAAGTCCCTTTTTGCAGTGCCATGGTAACTTTGAACGGTCGCTAAACGAAATGTTGTAAGCCGAGGACCTACCTGTAGCCTGAGTTTTCTTTTGAAGTTTCATAAACCTCTTAAAATCCTTCCGATTCTCTCCCTTTGCAGCAAGAAGCATTTTAAGAAATGCATCCAGTTCATCCACTCTTGCCGGCTGCAAGGGGGGAACTGCCTTGTTCATTGGTAGGTAGAAGAATTGGGGGGTGGGGGTGCCTGGGGGTTGGGGGGGCAGAAAAGATCTGGGACCCACAAGATGGATTCCTCCAATAGGCTAAAACAGGGGCTCTCAACTGTTAAGACGGACGGACTTCAACTCCCAGAATCCTGGGAGTTGAAGTCCACCAGTCGTAAAGTTGCCCAGGTTGAGAAATACTACGCTAAATGCTAAGCCATGGTTTTATTAAGGTTTACGGAAGAAGCCCAAATAAGTTTGCCCTTCAGGCTAAACCATCAGCTGCGGTCGACAAACTTAGATAGCTGGCTTTATTCTTTGTACCAAGCCATGATTTACTACCAAAATGGGTGTAATTACAAAGCCGTAATAAAGACGGGTGGGTTCAGACTCTATGGTAAAATATAAACTATGGTGTTTGAGCTAAGCTTTCTTTCTTTCTTTCTTTCTTTCTTTCTTTCTTTCTTTCTTTCTTTCTTTCTTTCTTCATTACTTTCTTTCTCTTTCTTTTTTCTTTCTTTCATTTTCCTTCCTTCCTCTCACCCTCCCTCCCTTCCTCTTTCTTTCTTTCTTTTTCTGTCTTTCTCTTTCTTTCTTTCTCTCCCTTCCTTCCTCCCTCCCTTTCTTTCTTTCTTTCTTTCTTTCTTTCTTTCTTTCTCTTTCTTTCTTTTTCTTTCTTTCCTTCTTTCTCTCCCTTCCTTCCTTCCACCTTTCCTTCCTTCAGCTCTCCGTCCCTCCCTCCCTCCCTCCCTCCCTCTTTCTTTCTTTCTTTCTTTCTTTCTTTCTTTCTCTCTTTCTTTCTTTTTCTTTCTTTCTTTTTCTTTCTTTCTTTCTCTCTTCCTCCCTTCCACCCTCCCTTCCTCCCTCCCTCTTTCTTTCTTTCTTTCTTTCTTTCTTTCTTTCTTTCTTTCTTTCTTTCTTTCTGTCTTTCTTTCTTTCCCCCACTCTCTCTCCCTTCCTCTTTCTTTCTTTCTTTCTTTCTTTCTTCCTCCCACCCTCTCTCCCTCTTTCTTTCTTCATTCCTTTCTTTCTCTTTCTTTCTTTTTTCTTTCTTTCATTCTCTCTTTCTTTCTTCCTTCCTCCCACCCTTCCTCCCTCCCTCTTTCTTTCTTTCTTTCTTTCTTTCTTTCTTTCTTTCTTTCTTTCTTTCTTTCTTTCTTTTTCTTTCTGTCTTTCTCTTTCTTTCTTTCTTTCTCTCCCTTTCTTCCTTCCTCCCACCCTTCCTTCCTTCCTCCCTCCCTCTTTCTTTCTTTCTTTCTTTCTTTCTCTCCCTTCCTTCCTCCCACCTTTCCTCCCTCCCTCCCTCCTTTTCTTTCTTTCTCTCTCTTCCTCCTTTCCACCCTCCCTCCCTCCCTCCCTCCCTCCCTCTTTCTTTCTTTCTTTCTTTCTTTCTTTCTTTCTTTCTTTCTTCCTTTCCTATCACACATCTCCCTTCCTTATAAGCCATGCCTTTATTCTTTGTTCTAAGCCCTGATTTACATATCAAAGTGCATGTAATCACTAAGTCATAATCTAGATAGGTGACTTCGGAGTTTATGCTAAGCTATTAACCATGATTGATGAATTCAGATAGCTGTGTTCACACTTAATAATAGGTCATAATCCATACTGTTAGGTGCACATTAACCAGTAAGCCCTGATTTACAAACCGAGATGGTTGGCCTAATTTTTTGTACTAAGCATGATTTACATACCAAAGTGTATGTAATCACTAAACCATGATCTAGGTGGCTGGGTTCAGACTTTATGCTAACCTATAAAACATGATGTGTAAGCCAAGGTGGCCATACATATATACACTTGACACTAGCCATAATCCAGAAGGCTGTGTTCACACGCTGGCTACTAAGGTATAAGCCAGGGGTAGGCAACCTTGGCTCTTTTATGACTGGTGGACTTCAACTCCCAGAATTCCTGAGCCAGCATGGGAGAACTATGGCCCCTTCATGACTTGTGGACTTCAATTCCCAGAATTCCTGAGCCAGCATGGTTCAGCATGGAAACCTCTCCCTTTCCCCTCAGCATGGCTGGCTCAGGAATTCTGGGAGTTGAAGTCCACCAGTCATAAAAGACCCAAGGTTGCCTACCCCGGTATAAGCCACGATTGATGAACCAAAGTAGCCATGTTCATACTTAATATTAAAACCGTGATCCCCATGGCTGGGTTCACCCTTTCCACTAACCCATAAACTGTGATTTACAAACCAACATAACCAAGTTGACACATGACACAAAGCCAACATCAACCAATGCAAAGTGGGAACACCCTAGAAAATATTCCTGACAACCAATAGACTTTTGGGGTGCACGGAAGCTGAGGGAGAGTGGCCCAAAGGGTTCTGGGTTCTAATCCTGTTCTTCACGCCTTCCAGCCTAGCTGGGATCTCCCGCAGTACCACCATCATCCTGGCCTACCTCATGGCGGTGACGCCATTGGGCTGGCTTGAGGCACTCGAAGCGGTCAAGGCCGTGAGGCCCGTGGCCAACCCCAACCTGGGTTTTCGTCAGCAGCTGGAGGAGTTCGGACGTAGCAGGTCCATACAGAAGGTGAGGAATGAGACGGTCCCCATCTGTGGCCTTGTGATGGTGTAGGCAGTCCTCAACTTGCGACAATGGCAACAGGATCATCCATTGCTAAGCAACGCTCTTGTAAAGGGAATCACTCCGTTTTACCATATGTGGGGAGGTTGTTATGCGAATCATGCCGTTGTTAAGCGAATCATGCTGTTGTTAAGCGAATCACACCGTTGTTAAGCGAATCATGCAGTTGTTAAGCGAATCATGCAGTTGTTAAGTGAATCTGGCTTCCCCCGTTGACCATTGCCGGTCGGAAGTTCGCAAAAAGGGGATCAAGTGACCCCCACCAGGACACTACCACTGTCATAAATACAAGCCAGTTGCCACACGTCTGAATTTTGATCATGTGACCCTGGAGGATGCTGTAACGGTCGTAAATGTGAGTTACAGGTAGCCTTCAAATTAACCCCCACAACTGAGCTCAAAATTTCTGTTGCTAAGCGAGACATTGGTGGAGCGAGTTTCGCTCCATTTTACAACTTTTCTGACCATCGTTGTTCAGCGAATCACTGCAGTCGATAAGGTACTAACACGGTTGTTAAGTGAATGCAGGTTGTCAGAAGATCGCAAAAGGAGTTTGCACGAGGATCCTAAATCACATTTTTCAGTGCCTGGGAATTGAAGTCCACCCCATTTAAAGCACGCTGGCTGGGGAATTCTGGGAGTTGAAGCCCACCCACCTTAAATCATGCTGGCTGGGGAATTCTGGGAGTTGAAGCCCACCCACCTTAAATCACGCTGGCTGGGAAATTCTGGGAGTTGAAATCCTCCCATCTTAAATCACACTGGCTGGGGAATTCTGGGAGTTGAGGTCCACCCACCTTAGAGCACGCTGGCTGGGGAATTCTGGGAGTTGATGTCCACCTCTAATCTCCAATGAGGCTGTCCCATTCTCTGCTATCAAAGGTAGAAACTCGTTGGGAAGGACTGCTTAAAGCAGTGGTTCTCAACCTTTTTAATGCCGCGACCCCCAACCGGTCGTAAGTCGAAGACTACTCAAGTGGTGCAGCACCGTTTGCAGAATGGGACTTTTGGAGGGCTCAGCAGGGCAGAGACAGCCTGGACAATTCCTATTGGCTTTGGAAAGCCAATAGAATGAGACTCTATTCAAGAGAGTCTCTTCTATTGGCTTTCAAAAGCCAATAGAATAAAAGGGAGTAGCACAGCTAAGGAAAAGGGGGGAAAATGGCAGACTGCGTTGTTTGGCGACTCCCATGAAATGGTCGTTCGACCCCAAATGGGGTCCTGACCCACAGGTTGAGAACCACTGGCTTAAAGCCAGATTTAGAATTTGCACTCTATAAACAGAAATCGGAAAGTCCCGGTTCCACCCTGTAGCCAGGATTTTCCCCAACTCTCATCTGTTGCCTTGTGTCTCCTTGCCAGATCCGCCGGAAGCTTCAGCAATGCCACCGAGGGACCCCTTTCAATGACCACGAAGCTGTCCGAGGACTTCTGTCATCTGGCCGAAAACAGGAGCTGCCCAGCCCCAAACAGACGTGGGCAGACCTGGGTCCTGCGGCCACTGGCCCCGGGGTCAAACAGATGGATTCCCTTCTGATACGGGTGAAAGAGACCTTTTCTTGCTTGCCCAGCTGTCTCAAATGAAACTTTTCCAAAACTTTTGGGAAAACGCAAGGAGATTCCCACGATGGGCTAGGAAAAGCAGGACCCAGGCCAGGCCGATCTCGTCCGTTGGCATCCCCAAGAAGGAAGAGAAAGGCCCGGGCAGAGCTGGCGAGGAGGAACTGGAAAACATTGGCAGCGCCAAGCAAAGTTCTGCTGCTCCGATTGCCTATCGCAACCGTGGGACTGTGACACCCCCAAATTCCCACGGGAAGGATTTTCAACTCAAACCACCCCAGAAATGATGAACTGGATGATTCCTAGGATGTACTATTTCTATTTGATTTGAAAAAAGTTAAAATACAAAATTCCAACTTTAAAATGAAAACAAACAAAGGGGAAAAAAAAACACAACGAAGCAAAACATTAAAAAGTGCATTAAAAAGGAAAAAAAAGCCAAACATATATACATATTAAGAAGAGACTGGGCAATCACTTGTCTGAAATGGTATAGGTTCTCCTGCTTGAGCAGGGGGCTGGACTAGAAGACCTCCCAGGTCCCTTCCAACATTATTATTATTATTATTATTATTATTATTATTATTATTATTATTATTATTATTATTATTATTATTATTATGGATTGTCGCAAGGTCCCTTCCAGCTCTATTCTGATTTATTGATTCATTGATTGAATTAACCAGTGGAACAGCTTGCCACCAGAAATCGTAGGCACTCCATCACTGGAGGTTTTTAAGAAGAGACAGGACAGTCACTTGTCTGAAATGGTATGGCAGTGGTTCTCAACCTTTCTAATGCCGTGACCCCATAATACAGTTCCCCATGTTGTGGTGACCCCCAAGTGGGTGTGGCCACCAATAAGAGGGAGTAAGACAGGTAGGGAAAAGGGAAAAAATGGCGGACAGCGTGGTTTGGTGACCCCCGTGAAATTGTCGTTCGACCCCAAATGGGGTCCCGACCCACAGGTTGAGAATCACTGTGGTATGGGATCTCCTGCTTGAGCAGGGGGCTGGACTAGAAGACCTCCATAGTCCCTTCCAGCTCTGTTCTATTCTAATATTATCCCCCCTAGTTGAATACTGATTAGTACATTACGACAATATTGGTTCCCACCCCTTGCAAAACAGCCCCTCCCCCCAAATTTTTAAACCAGTAAATCTATTTGCACATCATTGTCCGGTCATCCGTATGTTATATGAATGACAAAATAATTAACAGGAAGAATAATAATTTTAAAAAGACAAGATTAAAGTTGCAAAACAAACTTATCGTAATCAACTGGTAGGAAATTTACCATGGCATTTTTACCTATCCCAAACTGGAACCCCAGAATTTGTGGAGGATCTGAAGATCACTCAAGCTTGGAAAAACTTTGACAGGAAAGAAAGGATCCAACTGTTTTTAATGAAAAAAGAGAAGCAAACCCAAATTTACCAGCGATTTTTTTTTTTACGCTGAAAACATTGTCCAGACGGTACACCAATAATGGGTGTTTCTCTACAGCAAGGGTCTCCCAAACTGGCCTCTTTAAGATTTGTGGACTTCAACTCCCAGAATTCCCTAACCAGCCATGGGGAATTCTGGGAGATGAAGGCCACAAGTCTTAAAGTGGCCAAGTTTGAAGACCCCTGATTTAAGACAAGTGGCAGTCCAATCTCTTCTTAAAAGCCTCCAGCGATGAAGCACCCACAAGTTCTGGAGGCAGGTTGTTCCACTGGTTAATTGTCCTCAGTGTCAAGAAATTTCTCCTTAATTCCAGGTTGCTTCTCTCCTTGGTTAGTTTCCATCCGTTGCTTCTTATCCGGCCTTCAGATAATTTGGAGAACAGGTCGACCCCCTCTTCTCTGTGGCACCCCTCAAATATTGGAAGGCTGCTTAACAGAATAGCAGATTTAGAAGGGACCTTGGGGGTCATCTAGTCCAACCCCCTACTCAGCCAGGAAATCCTATACCACTTCAGACAAATGGCTGTCCAGTCTCTTCTTGAAAACTTCCAGTGTTGGAGCATTCATCGCTTCTGGAGCGGGTTGTTCCACTGGTTAATTGTTCTCACTGTCAGGAAATTTCTCCTTAGTTCTAGGTTGCTTCTATCCTTGATCAGTTTCCATCCGTTGCTTCTTGTCCTGCATTCAGGGGCTTTGGAGAATAGCTTGACTCCCTCTTCTTTGGGGCAGCCCCTCAAATATTAAAATAGTGCTATCATGTCACCCCTGGTCCTTCTCTTCATTAAACTAGACATACCCAATTCCAGCAACCGTTCCTTGTAAGTTTTAGCCTCCAGTCCCCTGATCATCTTTGTTGCTCTTCTCTGTACTCTTTCTAAAGCAGTGGTTCTCAACCTATGGGTTGGGACCCCATTTGGGGTTGAATGACCATTTCACGGGGGTCGCCAAACAACGCAGTCCGCCATTTTTTTCCCCCTTTTCCTTAGCTGTGCTACTCCCTTTTATTCTATTGGCTTTTGAAAGCCAATAGAATAGACTCTCTTGAATAGAGTCTAATTCTATTGGCTTTCCAAAGCCAATAGGAATTGTCCAGGCTGTCTCTGCCCTGCTGAGACCGCCAAAAGTCCCAGTCTGCAAATGGTGCTGCACCAGTTGAGTAGTCCTCGACTTACAACCAGTTGGGGGGTCACGGCATTAAAAAGGTTGAGAACCACTGTTCTAAAGTCTCAGCATCTTTTTTACATCATGGTGACCAAAACTAGATGCAGGATTCCATGTGCGGCCTTACCAAGGCATTTTAAAGTGGTATTATCTCTCTCACAGTTACTACTATTGAGCCAGGTAACACCTATTATACCTGTGCATCTGGTTTTCCTTGCCTAAATGTAGAATCTTATTTTTTTCACCACTGAATTTCCTTTTTTTTAACCATGGATTTTCATTTTATAGCTGTTTCTGGAATTTTTCATTAAGGTTTGCTTAACTTTGCAACGTTAAATCAATCTATCAGAGTCTGGGCAATCTTGGAAATTTATTATTCTTTCTGGCTTGTTCATTAGCAGTAGTATAAAACTGAATTTATCAGTAGTTACCTAAAATATATCTAAAATATAAGGAAATAAGCAATGCATTATATTGCAAGACTATAGAGGAGTAAATATCCATAAAAGTTGCTATTGTGTTTGTTCAATTTACATGGCCATTCCTCTCAGTGAACACTGGCTTCTATAGTTGCTCACCACAAGACAAACAGCAACGTAAACGCACACAACAGCCAAGGTACAAATCAAACAAGGATTAAAATAACCATCTCACGGGTTTTAACTGATATTGTCCCCCTCCCCTCCCCCATGTCCCAGAACACAACCACATCTTAAGAGCCTTGAGAAAGTCTGGCACGGTGGGGGTCACACTCATCTGTGGTGAGAGTGAGATTCCAAGGATCAGGCAGCACAATGGAAGACACACACTTCCTGGTTCCTGCAAGACATTTTACTTTATTTTATTTTATTATTTATTTTATTTATTTTATTTTATTATTTTATTTTATATGTTTATTTTATTAATTTTTATTTTATTTTATATTATATTTTATATTTTTATTTTATTAATTTTTATTTTATTATTTTATTATATATTTTTATTTTATTAATTTTTATTTTACTTTTTATTTTATTTTATTATATTTTATTTTTTATTTTATTTTAATTTTTATTTTATTATTTATTTTATTATTTTATTTTATTTTATTATTTATTTTATTTTATTATGTTATTTTATATTTTTATTTTATTTTCTTATTTTATTATATATTTTTATTTTATTATTTTTTATTTTATTTTTTATTTTATTATATATTTATTTTATTTTTATTTTATTTTTATTTTATTTTTTATTTTTTATTTTATTATTTTATTTTATTATTTTATTTTATATTTTTATTTTATTAATTTTTATTTTTATTTTATTAATTTTTATTTTATTATGTTATTTTAATTTTTATTTTATATTTTTATTTTATTAATTCTTATTTTTATTTTATATTATATTATATTTTTATTTTATTTTAATTTAATTTAATTTTTCTTGCCTTTATTACTTTATAAGTAACTGAAAGCACTGAACATAGCTAATATTCCTTCCTGCTCCTACAGTATTTCCCCACAACAACCCTGTGGGGTGGGCTGGGCTGAGGGAGAGGGACCGGCCCAAAGTCAACCAGTCGGCTTTTGTGACTAAGGCGGGACTAGAACTCACCACCAACACTTTCTAGCCTCTTGCCTTCACCACTGCACCAAAAAAAGCGACCTCTTCTCAGAGTCCACTGGAGCTGGGAGACCAATACATTTTAATAACGATAACGATAATAATGTGGAAGTTAAACCGGAGCCTCTCAACATTGTTTGCTGAGATGGGTAGCAATAGAAATCAAATAAGTTCATATGTTCATATATTCATATTAGTAAAGTTGGAAGGGACCTTGGAGGTCATCTAGTCCAACCCCCTGCTCGGGCAGGAAACCCTACACCATTTCGGACAAGTGGCTGTCCAGTCTCTTCTTAAAAACTTCCAGTGTTGGAGCATTTACTGCTTCTGGAGGCAGGCTGTTCCACTGATTAATTGTTCTCACTGTCAGGAAGTTTCTCCTTAGTTCTAGGTTGCTTCTCTCCTTGATTAGTTTCCACCAGTTGCTTCTTGTCCTGCCTTCAGGTGCTTTGGAAAATAGCTTAATTCCCTCTTCTTTATGGCAGCCCCTGAGATATTGGAATACTGCTATCATGTCCCCCCTTGTCCTTCTCTTCGTTAAACTAGACAGACCCAATTCCAGCAACCGTTCCTTATATGTTTTAGCCTCCAGTCCCCTGATCATCTTTGTTGCCCTTCTCTGCACTCTTTCTAGAGTCTCAACATCTTTTTTACATCGTATAAAAAGATTTTTTTTAATCTTTAAGAAAAAGCAAAACAAACCCAGAAGAGATTTTGTTTTTGTTTTTGTTTTACGAAGCACAAAGGCCACTTTCACTTTCTCTTTGCCCCTTTCTCCAAAACCTGAGTGGTTCCCATCAACCTCGAGTAACATTTCACAGCGAACCCGCTCCAGCCCACTTGATCAATTTACAATTCGGTGCAGGGGGCAAACACGCCAAAGTGCTTAACCGAGTTGAAGTGTTTTGCACAAACGCAGTCTCAGGTTTTATAAGGGGGGGGGGATTTTCCTTCGTGGTTTCCCTCCAGCTGAGCCAAAGAAAGCTGGAAGCTCTGCCCTCCACACTTTGATGGCGTTCACACAGCGTGTGAACGGAAGCCCCCTCAGGGTGGCCTGCTTCATCACAGCCCCTCGAAGAAGCCCCAGGAGCTTTAGCCAGAGGGGGTCGGCAAATATAAGAGGGTGGTACACATAGATGGGGGGTCACATAGATGGGGTGTCCCCCAGAAGGCCCCCCCAGGCAGAACAATCAGGATTTCTAAGAGAGTGGAGAGGAGAGGAGAGATATGGATGGATGGATAGATAGATAGATAGATAGATAGATAGATAGATAGATAGATAGATAGATAGATAGATAGATAGATAGATATGGATGGATAATTATCTTATCTCTCTATATAGATAGACGATAGATGATAGAGACAGACAGATGGAAGATAGATAGTAGAGGGAGGGAGACAGAAAAATGGATAGATGAGAGGGAGAGAGGGAGAGGAGAGAGAGAGATAGGGAGGGAGAGAGACAGAAAGATGGATAGATGAGAGGGAGAGGGAGGGAGAGAGATAGGAGGGAGAGAGAGACAGAAAGGTGGATAGATGAGGGAGGGAGAGGAGAGAGAGAGGGAGGGAGAGAGAGACAAAGATGGATAGATGAGAGGGAGGGAGGGAGAGGAGAGATAGGGAGGGGGAGAGAGAAAGATGGATAGATGAGAGGGAGAGAGGGAGGGAGAGGAGAGAGAGACAGGGAGGGAGAGACACAAAGATGGATAGATGAGAGGGAAAGGGAGGGAGAGGAGAGAGAGAGATAGGGAGGGAGAGAGAAAGAAAGAAGGATAGATGAGAGGGAGGGAGGGAGGGAGAGGAGAGAGAGAGATAGGGAGGGAGAGAGACAAAGATGGATAGATGAGAGGGAGGGAGGGAGGGAGCGAGAGCGATCTCGTCTAGGAGAAGAACCTTTGCAGGATTTGGGTTTGGCTAGTGTAAAGAAAAGGAGGACCAGCGGTGACATGATAGCCATGTTCCAATATTTGAAGGGTAGCCACAAAGAGGGCGGGGCGGGGGGTGATGTCAACTTATTCTCCAAAGCGCCTGAAGGCAGGACAAGAAGCAACGGAGGGAAACTCATCAAGGAGAGAAGCAACCTGGAACTATGGAGAAATTTCCTATCCGTGAGAACAATCAGCGGAACTGCTTGCCACCAGAAGTTGTGGGTGCCTCAATACTGGAGGTTTTCAAGAGGGGATTGGACGGCCATTTGTCTGAAATGGTATAGGGTCTCCTGCTGGAGCAGGGGGTTGGACTAGAAGACCTCCAAGGTCCCTTCCAACTCTTATTCTGTTAAATCCTCAAGTTCCTGGAATTGGGATTGTCCCGCTTAACGAAAAGGACTAAGGGTGGCATGATAGCAACAGTCCAGTATCTCAGGGGCTGCCCCAAAGAAGAGGGAGTCAAGCTCTTCTCCAAAGCGCCTGAAGGCAGGACAAGAAGCAACGGATGGAAACTCATCAAAGAGAGAAGCAACCTGGAATTAAGGAGGAATTTACCAGTGCAACAATGAACAATTAACCAGTGGAAGAGCCTTTGGAACCTGCGGGTGCTCTAGAGAAGAGAAGAGAAGAGAAGAGAAGAGAAGAGAAGAGAAGAGAAGAGAAGAGAAGAGAAGAGAAGAGTTGGAAGGGACCTTGGAGGTCTTCTAGTCTGACCCCCTGCTTAGGCAGGAAACCCTATACCATTTCAAATAAATGTCTCTTCTTAAAAACTTCCAGTGTTGGAACATTCAGTTTCTGGATGCAAGTTGTTCCACTGGTTAATTGTCCTCACTGTCAGGAAATTCCTCCTTAGTTCCAGGTTGCTTCTCTCCTTGATTAGTTTCCATCTGTTGCTTCTTCTCCTGCCTTCAGGCGCTTTGGAGAATAGCTTGACTCCCTCTTCTTTGGGGCAGCCCCTGAGATACTGGAAGACTGCTATCACCCCTAGCCCTTCTCTTCATTAAACTAGATCTACCCAATTTCTGCAGCCATTCTTCATATGTCCCCTGATCATCTTTGTTGCTCTTCTCTGCATTCTTTCTAGAGTCTCAACATTGTTTTTACATCGTGGTGACCAAAACTGGATGCAGCATTCCAAGTGTGTGGCCTTACCAAGGCACTGTAACGTGGTATTAACACTTCACGTGATCTTGATTCCATCCCTCTGTTGATGCAGCCCAGCACTGTGTTGGCTTTTTTTGGCAGCTTCCACACTTGGCTGGCTCATATTTAAATGATTGTCCACTAGGACTCCGAGGTCCCTCTCACAGTTACTACCATTGAGCAAGGTACCCCCTGTACTATACCTGTGCATTTGGTTTTTCTTGCCTAAATGTAGAACCTTACTTTTTTCACCATTGAATTTCATTTTGTTAGATTGCGCCCAATGTACAAGTCTGTCCAGGTCGTCCTGTATCCTAAGTCTGTCTTCGGGAGTGTTGGCTATTCCTGCCAGCTTGGTGTCATCTGCAAATGTGATGAGTTCCCCATCTATCCCTTCATCCAAATCGTTGAAGAAGATGTTGAAGAGCACTGGGCCCAGAACAGAGCTCTGGGGCACCCCACTACACACTTCCCTTCATGTAGATGTGGTTCCATTGAGGACCCCACGCTGAGTACGGCCGGTCAGCCAGCTACGAATCCATCTGGTGGTGATGCTGTCTAACCCACATTTTTTTCTATCTTATCGAGTAGTAGGTTGTGATCTACTTTGTCAAATGCCTTAGTGAAGTCCGAGTAAATGATATCCACAGCATTCCTCTGATCCACTAATTTTGTCACCTGGTCAAAGAATGCAATAAGATTTGTCTGGCATGATCTGTTTTTGACAAACTCATGTTGGCTTTTAGTAATGACTTTGCTTGCCTCTAGGTGTTCGTTGATTTGTTGTTTGATTATCTTTTCCAGAATCTTCCCAGGTATTGAGGTCAGGCTGATAGGTTTGTAATTTCCTGGATCCATTTTTTTTTCCTTTTTGAAGATGGGAACTACATCAGCTCCTTTCCAGTCCTCCGGTAGTTCCCCTGTGCTCCAGGATCTTTGAAAAATAAAGTTCAGTGGTCACATCTGAGATCACATCTGCCAGTTCCTGGAGAACCTTGGGGTGTAATCCATCTGGTCCTGGCGATTTGAACTCGTCTAGGCTGGACAGGTGCTCACTTACCATCTTTTTGCCTATCTTAACTTGTGTTTCTAGTCTGTTTTTTACGGCACTGTTTTTGATAGGTTGGTCTTTTTTTTCCCTTTGTGTAAAGACAAATGCAAAAAAAAAAAAAAAGAGTTAAGCAGCTCTGCTTTCTCCCTGTTGCTTGTCACCTTCGTGCCACTTTCCCCCACTAACGGACCAATCCTTTCCTTCATTTTTTTTCTTGTTTTTTACATGTCAAAAGAAGCTTTGTTGTTGTTGTTGCTATTTTTGACTTTTGTCACAAGCCTTAGTTCATTGGGAACTTTAGCTTTCCTCACTTCGTCTTTGCAGGCTCGGGCTATTTGCTGACATCCTGCCTTAGTTAGGTGCCCCTCTTTCCTCTTTTTATACTCGTCCGTCACTGGAGGTTTTTTTTTTTTTTAAGAGATTGGACAACTATATGCCTGAATCGGTGCAGAGTCACGGTCCCCTTCCAGCCCTAGGATTCTACGATCCCTTTGGGCCGCCCTAGCGAAGGGGAAGCGTGAGCGAAAGCGAAAGCGAAAGTGCCCGCACTCCTTTCGCTTTCCCGGCTGCCTGTGGCCGCGCGGCCGTTGGGCGCTTTTCGAGCCCTGCCTTGCTCGGGAGCGGCCGGTCCCTCCGCCTCGCCCGGCGCGTCCCGGCGGGGTCTCGGGGAAGGGGAGGCAGCGCCCATGGCCCGGGCGCTGCAGCCCATGCGGCTGAAGGAGTGGCTGCTGGCCCAGGTGGAGAGCGGTCGCTATCCGGGACTGCGCTGGGTGGACGGCCAGAAGACGCTTTTCCGCATCCCCTGGAAACACGCCGCTAAGCAGGACTACCGCGAGCGGGAGGACGCGGCGCTCTTCAAGGTACCACGCGGTCGGGATCGGGACCCCCGCCTCGGTTACCCCCCCCATACACCCCGGGCCTCCAGGAGGCGCCCCTCCCGGGCTCGCGGGGGATGGGAGAGAAGTTGCAGCGGGGGGGGGGGAGCTTGGCGAGGTCGTTGGGGTGTCTGACGGCTCCCCTCCCTCCTCTTCGCCCCCTCCCTTCTCCTCTCCTCTCTCTTCGCCTCCTCCTCTCCCCCTCCCTTGTCTCCTCTCTCTTCCCCTCTTCCCCCTCCCTCCTCCCCCTTCTCCCTCCCTCTTCCCCCGCCTCCTCCTCCCCCCTCCCTCCTCTCTCCTTTTCCCCTCCCTCCTCTTCTCCTCCTCCCTTCTCTCCCCCTCCCTCTCCTCTCTCTTCCCCTCCTCCTCTCCTCTCTCTCCTCTTCCCCTCCCTCCTCCCCCCTTCTCTCCCCCTCCCTCTTCCCCCTCCTCCTCCTCCCTCCTCTCTCTTTTCCCTTCCTCCTCTTCCCCCTCCCTCTTCTCCCCTCCTCCTCCTCTCCCCCTCCCTCCTCTTCTCACCTTCTCCTCTTACCCCTCCCTCCTCCTCTCTCCCCTCCTCTTCCCCTCTCTTCCCCTTCCCTCCTCCTCTCACCCCCTCCGCCTTTTACCCCTCCCTCCTCCTCTCCCCTTAACCCCCCCTCCTCTTCTTCCCCCTTCTCCCCCTTCTCTTCCTCCTCCCCCCTCCGCCCCCCAGGCCTGGGCCATCTACAAGGGCAAGTACCGGGAAGGGCTGGATCAGGCCGACCCCTCCGTCTGGAAGACGCGCCTCCGCTGCGCTCTCAACAAAAGCCTGGACTTTAAAGAGGTGCCGGAGAGACGCAACCTGGAGGCCTCGGAGCCCTACAAGGTCTACCAGGTGGTCTGCCCCGAGGCCGCCCCAGACACAGGTAGGAAAAAGCCGGACGGGGGGGGGGCTTGAGAAGGGACCCCTCAGCCCACTCTAAGGGTCCCCAGCAGGCGGAGGGTTTGAAGGCCATTGGGGGGGCCTGGGCCTCCTGGGGGTCTTGAAGTTTGCCCACGCCAGGCAGGAAGGATTTGCAGTTGGCTCCCCCAGCCCCCCCCCCAGGCACTTCAAAGGGTGAATCTGGAAAACTGGAGCTTAGCTTGGTTTTGAGGTGTGGGGGGGCGCTTCCAAGAGATTGCTGGGCAATGCAAAAAATACCGGGTGGGCACCAGAAGGGACTTTGGTGATAATCTGATAGGAACTAAACTAAATTAATTGGTTGTGACTTGTTTCTCATGCATGCAGTTCCCCCCCCCCTTTCTCTTTTTCTCTCATATGTATGTATATCGATCATATATCTATGCCTCTTATCTATTTATGTCTATCATATACCTATCTATGTGTCTATATATCATATATCTATCTGTCTATCATATACCTATCTATGTCTGCCTATATCATATATCTATGTCTCTGTCTATCTTATACCTATCTATGTCTGTCTATATATCATATATCTATCTTTATCTATCATATACCTATCTGTCTGCCTATATCATATATCTATGTCTGTCTATCATATACCTATCTATGTCTGTCTATATATCATATATCTATCTGTATCTGTCTATCATATACCTATCTATGTCTGCCTATATCATATATCTATGTCTGTCTATCATATACCTATCTATGTCTGTCTATCTATCATATATCTATCTGTGTCTGTCTATCTATATCATGTATCATATACCTATCTATGTCTGCCTATGTCTATCTTATATCTATATGTCTACCTATCGTATACCTATCTATGTCTGTCTATCTATGTCTATCTGTATCTATCATATATCTAATAATAATAATAAAGTTGGAAGGGACCTTGGAGGTTATCTAGTCCAGTGATGGTGAACCTTTTAGAGACCGAGTGCCCAAACTGCAACCCAAAACCCACTTATGTATCGCTGGGTGCTGGGTGGGTGTAGCCCACTCAGCAGCCGCAGCTACAGTGGGTGTGGCAGACTGGGTGGGCATGGCCATTGGATAGGTGTGGCTGCAGTAGTCATGGCAGAGTGAGTGGGCATGGCCTGGGTGGGTGTGGCCACCTCGATATTGCTTATGGGGAGAGACACCTGTGGGAGCCGGGCTGGGTTGGGGGAGATCCAGGGGGTCTCTGTGGGTGGATGGTGGGCTCCCCAATGGCCCCTCTAGGGCAGTGATGGCGAACTTTTAGAGACCACGTGTCCTGGGGCGATGGTGCGTGCCCACAGAGAGGGCTCCGCGTGCCACCTCTGGCACGCATGCCATAGGTTCGCCACCACTGATCTAGTCCAACCCCCTGCTCAGGCAGGACATCCTACACCATTTCGGACAAATGGCTGTCCAGTCTCTTCTTAAAAACTTCCAGTGATGGAGCATTCACCGCTTCTGGAGGCAGGTTGTTCCACTGGTTAATTGTTCTCCCTGTCAGGAAGTTTCTCCTTAGTTCCAGGTTGCTTCTCTCCTTGATGAGTTTCCTTCCTTTGCTTCTTGTCCTGCCTTCTGGCGTTTTGGAGAATAGCTTGACACCCTCTTCTTTGGGGCAGGCCCTGAGATACTGGAACACTGCTATCATGTCCCCCTTCTCTTTGTTAAACTAGACATACCCAATTCCAGCAACTGTTCCTTATATGTTTTAGCCTCCAGTCCCCTGATCATATATCTATCTGTGTCTGTCTATATCTATCATATACCTATCTATGTCTGCCTATGTCTGTCTATCATATATCTATATGTATGTCTATCTATTTATCGTATACCTATCTATGTCTGTCTATGTCTGTCTATCATATATCTATGTCTGTCTATCATATACCTATCTATGTCTGTCTATCTATGTCTATCTGCCTATCATATATCTATGTCTATCATATACCTATCTATGTCTGTCTATGTGTATCATATATCTATGTCTATCTATCATATATCCATCTATATCTATACCTATCCATGTCTGTCTATCTATCTATTCATATCCATATCTGTCTGTCTTTCTATATCTGTCTGTCTGTCTGTCTGTCTGTCTGTCTCTCTCTCTCTCTAGGTGTTTGATCACTGGAGATTTTTAAGAAGAGACTGGACAGCCATTTGTCCCGAATAGTATAAAGTTTCCTGCCCTGAGCAGGGGGTTGGACTAGATGACCTCTGAAGTCGCTTCCAATCCTAGGATTCTATCTGTCTGTCAGTCTGTCTGTCTTATCATCATCTATCACCCTACCTATATCTAAGCTATCTGTCTATCATCTACCTATATCTTATGTAATCTGTCTATCTAATCACCTACCTACTTTATCTCTCTATCACCTGTCTGTCTGTCTATATATCTACCCATCTACCTACCTATCAAATGTTAAAAACGCCCATCTTCCTCACAGAAGGACTCTGGGCAAAGTACAGATAAAATATCCAAAGATAAAATCAGCATACATACGATTTAACATTTTTAAAAGGGCAAGGATGAATTAAAAACCAGGTACGAATTTAAAAGCGGGCGAGGATTTTTATTTTTTTTTAGGGCACTATCCAGCCCCACGACTGCGTATTCTTTTTTTTTTTAATTAAAAGTTTTACAAATTTAATACAATATAAACCTTCCCACCCCTTCCCCCACTTCCCAGAACTGATTACAGGGTAACAAATAAACAAACACAATCTAACGAACATTAACCAACTATACTCTCAATCAAAACCATAACACACTTTAACTCCTTTTCAAAACAAAGATTAACGAATTAAAAACAAAAATAATGTGATTAAAACTATTAAATGATGATCTAAAATCTACTCATAAGCAAGATAGTACTTTTCAGTTTCATATTTCTTCTGAATATAATCAATCCATTTTCTCCAAACCATAATATATCTTTCTTGTGAATGGTCCTTCAAATAAGCGGAGATTTTCGCCATTTCTGTTAAGTTAGACACCTTAAGTGTCCATTCTTCCATAGTTTTGCCCCACCAATAACGACTGCGTATTCTTCTGTCCACCCCCCCAACAAAACTGGGGAGCCCCGGTTTTTACCCCTTCCTTTCCACAAATCAAAAACCAAAGATGGATTTGCTCTTCCCGTCTTGCCCGGTGGCAGTTTGGATACACCTGAGCTGGCAAAGTGATGGGCATCTTGACTAAACTGGTGCCAACGTTTGCTTTTCCACCAGCCTGCTACAGAGAGCCCAGTTCCCCCCCCCCTTTTGCCTTGAGACACACAAACAGTGGCTGAGTTTGACAAGCAAACTACCCAGGTTAACCAGACGGAATTGCTGGGTTCACACAACCCCGGGGGACGCGTTGTGGGGATGGCTTCCAGGCTCACCCAGAACGCAGAAGGAATGGTGTTTCCTCCCAGTCCTTTGACTCACAGAATACTCAACCTGGTCTAGTCCAGGTTGGTGTCAGCTTAGTCTGGAGGGGTGGGGGGGGGAGAGAGAAGGTTGTGTGAATCTACCTTTTGGGGTGTTTGTGTCGTTTCCAGAGAAGGCAAGTAGGACAGACTCTGCTCTGCAGGCAAAATACGCCTTGGCGCCAGCACCCGAAGCAGCTGCAGCCCATCTCTTGTCGGACAAGGTAAGCAAGCAGCTGAGTGGGATCCGGTCAGATCTTGTGTAAAGCGTCCTCTGGGCAGATTCACACCCAAAGAGATCTCAAATCTAACAAACTTCCAGGCAGGTGTAAAGCAAACAAAAAACAAAAAAAAACAAGCAGCTGAGGATTGCGGTACAGGCTCAGTTCGGCAAGGAAATATTTGTAGGTGTTATTTCTTTGAATGTGCAGGGTGGCCTTCAACTCCCAGAATTCCCCAGCCAGTGTGTCCGAAAAGGTTATTAGAGGGGATTTTGAGTGTGGAATTTTGCATTGTTTTAAATGTATCATGAAGTTGATTTGGAGAATTGTTCTGCTTGAAGAGCCAGGATATATCTTTCCTCCGTCCCTCCCTTCCTTCCTCCCTTCATTCATTCTTGTCTTTCTCTCCCCTTTCCTTTCCTTCCTTCTTTCCTTCCTTCCTTATTCCCTCCCTCCCTCTCCATTCCTTCCTCCCTTCCTTTTCCTTCCTTCCTTCCTTCCTGTCTTCCCTTCCATTTATCCCTCCCTTTTCCTTCCTTCCTTCCTTCCTTCCTTCCTTCCTGTCTTCCTCTCCATTTCTCCCTCCCTTTTCCTCCCTCCCTCCCTCCCTCCCTCCCTCCCTTTTCCTTTCTTCCTTCTTTCTTCTCTATTCCTCCCTTCCTTCCTTCCTCCCTCCCTCCCTTCCTATCTTCCCCTCCATTTCTCCCTCCCTTTTCCTTCCTTCCTTCCTCCCTCCCTGTCTTCCCCTCCATTTCTCCCTCCCTTTTCCTTCCTCCCTCCCTCCCTTTTCCTTCCTTCCTTCCTTCCTTCCTTCCTTCCTTCCTTCCTTCCTTCCTTCCTGTCTTCCTCTCCATTTCTCCCTCCCTTTTCCTTCCTTCCTTTCTTCATTTCTCCCTCCCTTTTCCTTCCTTCCTGTCTTCCTCTCCATTTCTCCCTCCCTTTTCCTTCCTTCCTTTCTTTCTTCATTTCTCCCTCCCTTTTCCTTTCTTCCTCTCCATTTCTCCCTCCCTTTTCCTTCCTTCCTTCCTCCCTCCCTCCCTCCATTCTTCCCTTCCCTTTCCTTCATCCCTCCCTCTCCATCCCTCTCTCTCTCCCTTCTCTTTTCCTCCCTTCCTTCCCCTTACCCCCTCCCTCCTTTCTCTTTTTCTTTTTTCTCTCCCCCCTTCCTCTCCCCCCTCATTTGAACTGCTGCCCATCCCAAGGGTGGCGAACTTACCTTTGCTTTGTTTAATTTAACTAATGATTAAATACATTGAAATTATTCTTAAAACGCAAGACCATTTGCACCAAGAATGCAACCATCAACATTTCAGAAGTGTGAAATTGCATGGCTTTAAAACATAAATAACAGCCGCTCTTTTGGGGACTGGGAAGGACTCTCTGGGTTCCAACAACCTCGCCTCCCCCCCCATGCCCCCCCACACAAACACACACACACAGGGTTGTTTCTGCCTCAAACAGGAAATCTCTGCTCTGGGATTTTCTTTCTTTTGAAATGCAACTTCCCTAAAGATAAAAATAGCAGCTTTGATGCAGGGCTGGGGGGGGGGGGCATGTTCTACTTCTTTTACAAGTAGTCCTCGATTTACAACTGTTTGTTTTATGACTGCTCCGAGTTACAACCGCGCCCGGAAAAAGTGGACTTACGACCATTTTTCCCCCTTCGTGACCGCTGCAGCCTTCGCCCCCCCCCCAGGGTCACGTGATCAAAAATTCAGACGCCGGGCAACCGACTTGCACTTATGACGGTCGCAGGGTCCCAGGGGGGGAGTGTGTCACGCAATCCCCTTTTTACGACCTTCCGACCAGCAACATCGACGAATGAAACCAGATTGTCACTAACTTAACTGCAGCGACTCACTTAACAACGGTCGTAAAGTGGGGCAAAGCTCACTAAACCACCAACTCGCTTAGTGACAGAAATTTGGGACTGTTGTAAGCCAAGGACTACCCGTATATTGACGTCTTTGTGCGTCATTCCAACCCGCGCACGTCGTTCCGTGTTTGTCGGGCCCCAGAAACTGCAATGGCCCTGTGAGCGGATCAGAGTTGCTTCTTCATTGCTGCAAGCGCATCTGCAGGAATTTTCTCAGACCTGCTACGTTCTCTCAGAACGGCCAGAAAAAAAGGATTCAGGGATTTTAGGGGGAAAGGTGTGTGTCTGGCCTCAGTTCCTTCCTTCCCAGTAAGGAGTCCAACGCACCTCAAAGCGCCTGAAGGCAGGACAAGAAGCAACGGATGGAAACTCATCAAGGAGAGAAGCAACCTGGAACTAAGGAGAAACTTCCTGACAGTCAGAACAATTAACCAGTGGAACAACCTGCCTCCAGAAGCAGTGAATGCTCCAACACTGGAAGTTTTTAAGAAGAGACTGGACAACCATGTCTGGAATGGTATAGGGCAGGGGTCAGCAACCTTGGCTCTTTTATGGCTCGTGGACTTCAACTCCCAGAATTCCTAAGCCAGCCATGCTGAGGGGAAACGGAGAGGTTTCCAAGCTGAGCCATGCTGGCTCAGGAATTCTGGGAGCTGAAGTCCACGAGTCATGAGGGGGCCATAGTTCCCCCATGCTGGCTGAGGAATTCTGGGAGTTGATGTCCACCAACCATGAGGCCATAGTTCCCCCATGCTGGCTCAGGAATTCTGGGAGTTGAAGTCCACGAGTCATGAAAGGGCCAAAGTTTCCCCCATGCTGGCTCAGGAATTCTGGGAGTTGAAGTCCACGAGTCATGAAGGGGCCAAGGTTGCCTATCCCTGGTATAGGGTTTCCTGCCTGAGCAGGGGGTTGGACTAGATGACCTCTAAGGTCCCTTCCAATTCTGTTATTCTGTTATTTAGTGGAATGGCTTCCCTTCAGAAGTTGTGGATGCTCCAACATTGGAAGCTTTTAAGATGAGACTGGACAGCCATTTGTCTGAGATGGTATAGGGTTTTCTGCCTGAGCAGAGGATTGGACTACAAGGTCCCTTCCAACATTATTATTATTACTACACTGTCAGGTCCTTTCAGAACGCTGCCATAAGGAAGGGGAGCACATTAGTGTGGATTGAAGATGCTTCTGTATTTCCTGCATTGTTTCTACTTTCGCTTTGACGTAGTTACATGGGAATTGGGGCGGGGGAAATATCCTTGGGGCGGTCTGTTTTCACTCCTGCCGACTGGCGCTGGAAAACTGCCCGTTATTGCCTTTCCGGAATTGGCTCCTGATGGACTGGGTGCCTTAGGGTGGGGCTAAAGAAACGGGATTTTTAGCCGAATGCTTTTGCGCGGGAATTTCAGATCCGGCTTTTTTACTCTGCAATCACTTTCTCTTAGTAAAAGATCCTCTTTGAAGCGACGCCCGTTTCTTGAGTGGTGCTTTCCTGAGGCGACAGCTGAGTCAGCTCCTTAACACGAACACACTCTCGATGGAGGTTCTACCACAAAACTCCGGAGAGCGTGCCTAGGTGCTTTCTTTCTAGTTTCACCCACTTTTATTTCCTTTCATTCCAGGCCAAACCATCTACGGAGCCTGATAGGAAAAGGGCAGATAACCCAGGGGGTCCTCTGATACCCCAACAGCTGAGCAATCCAGACCTCCACGGTAAGGTGGAAACGAGGTTTTGTCTGCATCCCTGGTTGAAAAGGTGGAGTGCCGTTTTGAGGACAGGATGTGCGCATTGCCTTGAGTCATTTGTAAAAATAATAAAGGAGGGATGCAAAAAAAAAAAGAAAAGAAATATAAGAGCATTGTATGGTTAGTGATTTTTGCAGTGGATTTGCATGATATAATGCAGAGATCCCCAACCTATGAGTAGCTGGATAGTGCAGGCGCGTGTGCATGTGCTCACCCTCCCTTGTGCCACCGTTGCGACTGTTGTGTGGGTGGTAGCAGCACTGCTAGTATCGTGCAGGTGATGTTGCCACAAACCTTGTGCGGGTGGCAGCAGTGCTGCAAATGGTAAGTGGGCCGAAACACAATCCTCGCGCATGGGTGGCGGTATCGTGATTGCGTGCCAGCCTATGATCCTGGTAGTTGAGTCTGGGGAATCGGAGGCCTGGAGAGCTATCAGAGTGGGAGGGAGTCTCTGATGAGCTGCAGGACTTACAAACTAATGAAGAGGTTGGTCCTTCCACTTGTGATCCAGCTGAGAGCCAGCTGTGCTGGGAAGCTGAGTCGGACTCGGAGGAAGCACAGCTGGAAGAGCTCAGAGACGCTGGTAAACGTAGACAGGTCACACGAGTAGGACAGAGGGAGGCAATGGGGCGACTCCAGGGGAGGAGGAGAAAGCAGTGAGAAGCCACGCCTTGGGGGCTGCGTAACAAAAAGGGAAGGTGTGGGCAGGGCTGTTTGCTGGAGGCAACTATTTGCAAAGAACTTCAGCGTCAAGAGATCATGGTCTGTTTATTTTGAAGTAAGGATGTGTGTAGGCTGGGACAGAACAGGCAGCGTGAGCCTTGTGCTGGGGCGGGATTGCTGCGGGCCGTGGTGTAATCACACGGGAGCAGCAGCTTGAACTTTGTGCTGTGGTGGCACTGTTGCAGGACACGGCATGATCCTCATGCTGGAACGGTGGTGCAAGCCTCGTGCCGGGGGCAGCATTGCTGTGGGCCGCAGCGCGAGCCTCGTACCGGCGGTAGCATCGCCGTGAGCCTGGCAGCAGTGGTGCCACAAGCCTCACACAGGCACTGCCATCACTGACAGCCTCCTTGCAACAATGGCACCCCACCCTGCCTCGCATTGCCTTGCCTCACCTTAGCCCGCAGGATGAGCCTCCTGCTCACTGCCCCACCTGTCACGAGACCCCCTGGATCTCCCCCAACCCTACCCGCCCCCCCATAGGCATCCCTCCCAACGAGCAACATCGAGGTGACCACGCCTACCTTGGCCACACCCACCCAGTCTGCCATGACCACAGCCACGCCCACCCAGTGGGCCACACCCACCTGGCACTCGGCGATACATAAGTGGGTTTTGGTTTGCAGTTTGGGCACTCGGTCTCTAAATGGTTCGCCATCACCGGTGTAGGTAGTCCTCAACATATGACCGCAATTGGGACCAGGATCTCAGTTGTTAAGCGAAGCGGTGGTTAAACGAGGGACCCGCGTAACTGCTTCGCTCAATGACCGCAATCCTGGCTCTCCCAGTTGCAGTCACTAAGCCACCGTGTGGATCGTTAAGCCGATGGAGCGAAAGAATAACTTAAGAGGGAGGAGTCAGAAGGAAACTCCTGTGCTTGGATCCTAAAAACCCCTGCCGGCTTCCCCAATCACTTTCTGGGGAAGCCGGCAGGAAAGTCCGCTCCTGGGATTAGTTCCGCATTTTCTAACAACCCATCAGAATGGATTCAGCCAAGCGGGCAAATGCAATAAGGGCACAATTCTAGCCATCCTTACAGTTTGTTGTGCTCTTCTCCACAGGGTGTCAGGTGAAAGCTTTTTTCCACACTTTGGCTCCATCGCAGATCTACCAGCATCCAAGCCGGGCCTTCGTTAGTCCCAGTCCGCTCTTGGTCCCCAGCAAAAGCACCAACTCAGGTACAAAGACCGTCGATTTCAACCATTTCTGCACCGTGTCCAGTTCAGCAGCTTGCTGACCAGGGCTGAAGATTGTAAAAAGCTAAGCTGGGTCAGGGCTTGGTTAGCTTTAGGATGGGAGGCACAGAGAGATGTGATTGGGAAGCGCGCCAGGGGGAAGTTGGCACAAATTTGCCCCGTATCATTGACCAGGAAAAACAAAACCAAACAAAGAAAAAACAAGGAACTGCAATTGATTCAAAGAACTGCTGTCTTCTTCATTTGGAGAAAGGAAGTTGCAAGTTAAAGGAGTTTACAAATAATAATAATAATAAAACCTAAATACAGTGATTAAAAACCTTGATTGATTGATTAAGTGCATGCATTGAAGAACATAAGAACTCAGTCAAAAAAGAGTAACTAACTTCTTCCCTGGTCCAACACCTTAAAATCACAGGACATGAAATTGACTTTAAAAAGACCAGAACTATCGCCAAAAGTGAACACTTTAATAACATAATAATCAGAGAAGCCATCGAGATAGAAAAACGCCCACACAGCGTGAACAAACGAGATGATACCTCCCGCCTACCAGCCATTTGGAAACCCGCCCTTATTGACAAACGAGTCCCTAACACAAAGAATGACACCAACCCACACTCACAAAAGCCACACAGGATGTCACCACCACACGTCCACGCAAAAAGCAAACCCAAACCCACACCAATGATGAGACACGACCACAAACCAGAAGCCATACCACAGCTGCATCATTAGCCACTTTAAACCCCTCCAATCCATACATGAAGCAAACTGACACCCACCATGAAGATGAGGCATGAACACGAAGCCAAACAATAGCTATGCAGCTCACTATCTCACATCCCCCTGCAACTCAGACTAACCTGAGCACAACAAAGCCCCCACCCAAACAGAACACTCCCCCAACCAATCAGAGCACAGCCAACCCCCTATCCAATCAGAGCACAGCCAAGCTCCTAACCAATCAGAACACACCTCCATCCAATCAGAACACAGCCAAGCTCTCATCCAATCAGTTCATACCCCCATTGGCAGTTAAAAGGAAGAAACAGCTACGATCACACATTGCTCCTAGAAGCACGAAGCCGAAAACACCAGCCTGAAGATGACGAATGAGACTTCGTCGAAACGTCGCCAGAAGACACTTCCAATTTGACGCGGGAGAAAACCCAAATAACCAAACCTACGTATATATATGTGTGGGTGTGTGTGTTTTCTGAGGTTTTCGCGGGTGTTTGTATGTAGGTCTTTGGTTATTTGGGTTTTCTCCTGTGTCAAATTGGAAGTGTCTTGGCGACATTTCAACGAAGTCCCATTCGTCATCTTCAGGCTGGGTGTTTTCGGCTTCATGCTTCTAGGAGCAATTTGCTCCTAGAAGCACGAAGCCGAAAACACCAGCCTAAATAATTATTATATTTATTATTATAATAATAATTATAATAATAATTATAATAATAATAACTACTACTACGCCATAGCTATGTCATGGGGTCAGTTTCTGATTCTCCCTGCCTTTTCCCCCATTCCAGATTGCTGCCTTCACGTTCGCCTCTACTATTGCGACGTGCTGGTGAAGGAAATGACCACCAGCGCCGCCGAAGGCTGCCGGATCACCTACCGGCCGGTGATGGCAGAGAACGAGGACCTGTATGGTCCCAGCGGCATGGACGAAATCCAGTTCCCCTCTCTGGATGTCCTGGGCTGCCGAAGTTGGGGGCCCAAGTCCATCTTGGTCTTGAAGAGATTGCTCCCCCATTTGCATCGCGGGGTGCTCCTGTGGGTGGCTCCAGAAGGAGTCTTCATGAAACGCCAGTGCCAAGGGCGGGTTTACTGGAAGGGGCCACTGGCACCCCACAAGGATCAGCCGAACAAGCTGGAGAGGGAGAAGACCTACCGGCTGTTGGACACTCAAGAATTCCTCCAGGGTGAGTCCAGAAGTGCTCAGAAGTTTGAAACAGCCCCATTCTTCACTTCTGCAGTCCTCCCTTTGGTCTTCCTGGGCAGGGCGTGATCTACTGCTGGGGGATCTGCTGATTAGGTCCCTTACATGGGGGGAATATGGATCTTTTATGGCTTGCGGACTTCGACCTCCAGAATTCCTGAGCCAGCATACTCAGGAATTCTGGGAGTCCACCAGTCATAAAGCAACCATCGTTCCCCACCTCTAATCTACAGTCGTGGCCAAAATTGTGGAAACCTTTTGGGGAAAGTGTATTTTTGAGGTGGAATGGCTAATAACACCACTTTTTGGGGGGGAGTAGTACCGTATATGCCAGCATACAAGGCGACCCGGCATATAAGACGACCCCTGTCTTTATAGCCAGGCTGCATTCCTAGAACGTCGTCTTATATGCCGGAAACTACCAGTATTTCCGGCGTATAAGACGACCCCCGTCTTTGGCGCCGATTTCAACACTCGCAGAAGTTTCCTTATACACCGGCATTTACGGTACCATAAAATTATATATCGATGAAAAGATAATTTAATCAAGAATGTAATGCAACGAAGTTTGTTCAATGATCTGTACTGCGTTCTATGAAAAAGTATAGCCAAATAAACAGAAAAAGGAAGCACAACATGCTCGGGTGGATCTCAGGTAGCTTTCCTTCATCCAATTGTAGCCAATGAGTATGAGCGTTTAGAGAGCCAATTGGGTGTCATCTTGTTTTGGCAATGAGCCAGTCAGATCACAGTAGGATCCAGTTATCGGCGTCCTGTATTGAAGCTGAGAGGAGGACGTTGGTCAGTGTGTTGTGTGATGGCTATCCATTGGTTGGGTTTTTTGATGTTCTTTCAGTGAGTGAGCTTGTGAAACGTAATAAAATTAAAGTCATGGGCGCAAAGAGTTGACTGGTCACCCAGAAGGTGATGTAAAACAGTATTATTAAGTGAACAAGGCTACGGTTATAAAGAAATTAGAAGAAAAATAGGTGGAAACTTAACCAGAGGGGGCATTTCTACTGGACACTTTTCCCAAATGATTTCCACCATTTTGGGCACGACTGTATAGAGCAGGAGTTCTCAACCTTGGCAACTTTAAGACTTGTGGACTTCAACTCCCAGAATTCTGGGAGTTGAAGTCCACAAGTTTTAAAGTTGCCAAGGTTGAGAACCCCTGGTATAGAGAGAGTCCTTGATGGTCCCATATTGGCGGAGATATATGTGCCGGGAGGAGAGACGGGGCCTTTTCACCAGCTGCCCCTAAATTCATAAACTTCCTGCTCAGAGCTGACCTGGTGGCCTTCCATCAAGGACTTGTGTTTTTGTTCTCACTTCACGCACCTGTCAACATTGGAAGGTGGGGTTCATTTACTTGATATCTCACCTTTTATTTTTTTTATAAACAATTCAAGGTGCTGAACAGACATAATCATCCTTCCTATATTCTCCACAACATTATTCCTGTGAGGTGGGTTCAGCTGACAGGGGGACTGGCCCAAAGTCACCCAGCCAGCTTTCATGCCTCAGGTGGGACTAGAACTCACCATCCTTTATAATAATAATAGTAGTAAAGTTGGAAGGGACCTTGGAGGTCATCTAGTCCAACCCCCTGCTCAGGCAGGAAACCCTACACCATTTCGGACAAATGGCTGTCCAGTCTCTTCTTAAAAACTTCCAGTGTTGGAGCATTTACTGCTTCTGGAGACAGGTTGTTCCACTGGTTAATTGTTCTCACTGTCCGGAAGTTTCTCCTTAGTTCTAGGTTGCTTCTCTCCTTGGTCAGTTTCCATCTGTTGCTTCTTGTCCTGCCTTCAGGCGCTTTGGAAAATAGCTTGATTCCGTCTTCTTTATGGCAGCCCCTGAGATATTGGAAGACTGCTATCATGTCCCCCCTTGTCCTTCTCTTCGTTAAGCTAGACATACCCATACCTTAAAATCCTTAAATCCTTAAAATCTCTTGTGTTTCTCCCAGAGTTACGAGGCTTCCTCAGACACGGAAAGCCGCTACCGCAGTACCAGATCCACCTCTGCTTTGGAGAAGAATTTCCTCCAGTCCCCAACCAGAAGCTCCAGAGGTTCATCACCGCCCAGGTAAGTATTTTGGCGACCACAAAGGGTCGTTTTGCACCATCTTTCCTGACTTAACCTGGTTAATGGACGGTTCATGAATTGCGGAAATACCAGAGGGTCATTGGAGTGACCAGTTAATACCCAAAACCCCGAATATTCAGGGTTCAGGTAACTTCATCCAATGAGTTGTGTTTAGGAAACATCCATGGACCCGGTTTTACATCTCTGATCCTCCTGGGATACAGAGCTGGAGAGAAGGAGTGACTAAAAAAAACAAAGCAAAAAGAGAGGACTCTCTCTCTATTGCACAACTCGCTGCCCAGGCAGGCTGCAGGGAACAAATTTCTCAAGCAACGATTGGCTGCTGCTCGTGCCTGCCTGACCAACGGGAAGACAGCTATCACAAAGTCTTGCAGTTAGTCTCATGCGCCACCAAGCAATTTCAGGGAAGGGATTCTACACAGGTGGTCCTCGATTTGCAAGCAGTTGCTTAGCAACCATGTGAAGTTACAAATGGCCCCTCCCCCTTCAGTCACATGATCCCATTCTGGACCACTTGGCAACTCACCTGCATTTATGATTGTGATTTACAACATTTTTGCCAAAAATCAACATTTCCTTAATGGTTTTCGGCACACTCGCCCCATAGCAAACAATGGGTTCGCTTAAAGACCACGGGGATTCACTTAACAACCATCCCAAGAAAGATTGTAAAACTGAGTCGGTCCCATGGGTGACCCACTTTGCAACGGTAACAACTCACAACTCTAAGGGAGTAGACTCCATTGCGGTCATAAGGTAGCCCTCGACTTACGACAATTTGTTTAGTGACCATTCAAAGTGAGAGTGGCCTGAAAAAAGTGACTTATGACCGTTTTTCACACTTGCAACATTGCGTCACATCACGTGATAAAAGCTCGGACGCTTGGCGCTGGCTCCTTTTTATGATGGGAGGGGTCATGTGATCCCTTTTTGTGATCTTCTGGCAAGCAGAATCCATGGGGGAACCAGATTCATTTAACAACTGTATTATTAATTGCAGTGATTTGCTTAACAACTGTGGCACAAAATGGGGCAAAATTCACTTAACAAGGGTCTCCCACCCAAAAGATGTTGAGACTCTAGAAAGAGTACAAAGAATAGCAACAAAGACGATTAGGGGACTGGAAGCTAAAGCATATAAGGAAAAGCTGCTGGAATTGGTTCTGTCTAGTTTAATGAAGAGAAGGACGAGGGGGGACATGATAGCAGTGATCCAGTATTTCAGGGGCTGCCCCAAAGTAGAGGGAATCAAGCTATTCTCCAAAGCGCCTGAAGGCAGGACAAGAAGCAACGGATGGAAACTGATCAAGGAGAGAAGCAACCTAGAACTAAGGAAAAATTTCCTGAGAATGAGAACAATTAACCAGTGGAACAGCTTGCCACCAGAGGTTGTGGGTGCAGGAATTGAGTACCGTATATTCCGGCGTCTAAGACGACTTTTGAGAGCGATGAAACAGCCTCCAAACTCGGGGGTCGTTTTATACGCCGAGTCATAACGTTTATTTATTTATTTATTATTTCCGGCGTATAAGATGACGTTCTAGGCATGCGACTCGGTGTCGATCATCTTATACGCCAGAAATGACGTCATTTCCGGCGTATAAGATGATCGACACCGAGTCGCATGCCTAGAAAGTCACCTTATACGCCGGAAATAACGTTATAAACTACGTTTATTTCCGGCGTATAAGATGACTTTCTAGGCATGCGACTCGGTGTCGATCATCTTATACGCCGGAAATGACGTCATTTCCGGCGTATAAGATGATCGACACCGAGTCGCATCCTAGAAATCATCTTATACGCCGAAATGACGTCATTTCCAGCGTATAAGATGATCGACGCCGAGTCGCATGCCTAGAAAGTCATTTTATACGCCGGAAATGACGTCATTTCCGGCGTATAAGATGATCGACACCGAGTCGCATGCCTAGAAAGTCATCTTATACGCCGGAAATGACGTCATTTCCAGCGTATAAGATGATCGACGCCGAGTCGCATGTCTAGAAAGTCGTCTTATATGCGACTCGGCGTCGATTGTCTTGCGACCCGGCGTCGAACTCGGGGGTCGTCTTATACGCCGGGTCGCCTAATACGCCGGCATATACGGTAAGTCTAGTTTAATGAAGGGAAGGACGAGGGGAGACATGATAGCAGCCTTCCAATATCTCAAGGGCTGCCCCAAAGAAGAGGGAGTCAAGCTCTTCTCCAAAGCGCCTGAAGGCAGGACAAGAAGCAACGGATGGAAATAATCAAGGAGAGAAGCAACCTAGAACTAAGGAGAAACTTCCTGACAGTGAGAACAATTAACCAGTGGAACAACCTGCCTTCAGAAGCGGTGAATGCTCCAACACTGGAAGTTTTTAAGAAGAGACTGGACAGCCATTTGTCTGAAATGGTATAGCAACAGAAATTTTTGGCTCAATTGTGGTTATAAGTTCAGGACTAGCTGTAGTTTCATCCAACGTGGAACTGTGGCCAGGGATGATGGCCATTGCAACGTCACCTGCTCTCATAGCATGGAGGTCTCCAGAAAGTCCTAACAGTCCAGGAGCTTCTCAGTCCTCCAGGTCATGGTTGACCCCCAAAGGTGCCTTTTTCAGGAGGCAACTGGACTTTCTTGTTTTTCTTTGAAGACATTTTGCTTCTCGTCCCAGAAGCTTCTTCAGCTCTGACTGGATGGTGGGGAGTGGAAGGATTTATAACGACCAGCTGTCTGCAAGGAGTATAAATCCTTCCCTTCCCCACCATCCAGTCAGAGACGAAGAAGCTTCTTGGGACGAGAAGCAAAACGCCTTCAAAGAAAAACAAAGTCCAGTTGCCTCCTGGAAAAAAGGCACCTTTGGGTGTTCTCCTAACAAACATCAGCAGGACCATACAAGGTGCAGCCGTGGAGATCTTCTCTCCTTTGCAGAAACGTCTGAAAACAGTCCCAAGGACTCCATAGCTGTGTAACCCTGAGATAGGTCTATTTTCCCTCTGCCAGACCTCTTAGATAGCTTCATTCCTGGTCAACTTTCTCGATTGCTTCTCCTCCATGACCATGCTTTCTAGAGCGGTTCTCCTAGTCATCTTCACGTTACTAGGATGCAACTTCTGGGCCCTTCTTGCCTTGTGGAGAAGCTTGAGGACACATTCACCGCTATATTATAATGATGGTGGTGGTGGTTGTGGTGGTGGTGGAAGACACCCTGGAGGTCATCTAGTCCAACCCCCTGCTCAGGCAGGAAACCCTATACCATTTTGGACAAATGGCTATCCAGTCTCTTCTTAAAAACTTCCAGTGTTGGAGCATTCACTGCTTCTGGAGGCAGGTTGTTCCACTGGTTAATTGTCCTCACTGTCAGGAAGTTTCTCCTTAGTTCCAGGTTGCTTCTCTCCTTGATGAGTTTCCCCGTTGCTCTTGTCCTGCCTTCAGGCGCTTTGGAGAATAGCTTGAATCCCTCTTCTTTGGGGCAGCCCCTGAGATATTAGAAGACTGCTATCCTGTCCCCCCTTATCCTTCTCTTCATTAAACTAGACCTATCCAATTCCAGCAACCGTTCCTTATATGTTTTAGCCTCCAGTCCCTTAATCATCTTTGTTGCTCTTCTCTGTACTCTTCTAGAGCAGTGGTTCTCAACCTTTTTAATGCCGCGACCCCCAACCAGTCATAAGTTGAGGACTACTCAACCGGTCGTAAGTCGAGGACTACTCAACTGGTGCAGCACCGTTTGCAGAATGGGACTTTTGGCGGGCTCAGCAGGGCAGAGACAGCTTGGACAATTCCTACTGGTTTTTGAAAGCCAATAGAATTAGACTCTATTCAAGAGAGTCTATTCTATTGGCTTTCAAAAGCCAATAGAATAAAAGGGAGGAGCACAGCTAAGGAAAAGGGGGGGAAAATGGCAGATCGCGTTGTTTGGCGACCCCCGTGAAATGGTCGTTCGACCCCAAATGGGGTCCTGACCCACAGGTTGAGAACCACTGTTTTAGAGTCTCAACATCTGGAATGCCTCTTTCCCTTTCTGCTTGTTCTCTAGGTGGAACCCGTGTTTGTCCACAATCTCTGCCTTCACGCCCAGCACTATCTCCCGGGCTCTCAAACAGGGCCTCCAAAGGCTCCCAAGAATATCATCCAGATCCTGCAGCAACTTAGCTCCTCTTGACCCGCTCCAGAAGACCTGGTTGCTTCTCCTGAGGATGTCCAGCTTTTGTTCGCGCTGACCGAGGAACCTCTCTCAAGATTCAGCCTCTTCTCTCAGGGATTTATGGCTGGCTTGTGCTGAAATCTTGTATGAATAAGGACTCTGTGTTTAAGTTTTATTAAAACATGTAAGAAGAAGAAGAAGAACAAAGGTAAACTGAAAAAGAACAGAGAAAACAAAAAGTAAGAGAACTGACAGAAAAAGCTTTCGTGAATAAGGTTGCTGTGATTAGCCTGGATATTCCTTTTTAAATATATATTTATATATATAATTTTTACTAAAAATTTTAAGAACAATGATCAGAATGAATATAAAAGAACAAACGAGGAAGGAAAAGAAATAATAGAAAAGGCTTTGATGAATAAGAGCTCTGTGATTCGCTGGGATGTCCTTTTTTAATATATACGGTTTTTATTAAATATTTTAAGAACAACGATAAGAATGAATGTAAATTAAAATGTTAACAGGAAACAAGGAAAAAAGAGAAATTAGGGAAAACATTTGTATGAATAGGAGCTCTGTGTGCTTCGCCCGGATCTCCCTTTTTAAATATATACGGGAGAAAACCCGAACAACCAAAGACCTATATACAAATACCCGCGAAAACCTCAGAAAACAAATATAAATATATATATATATATATATCTACAATTTTTATTAAATGTTTTAAGAATAAGAATGAATGTGAATTAAAACAGAACAAACAAACAAACAGAGAAAAAAGAGAAAATAACAAAACATTTGTCTGAATAGGGGCTCTCTGTTTGGCCTACAATGATGTTCCTTTTTTTAATATATATGTATGTATGTAGGTAGGTCTTTAGTTATTCGGGTTTTCTCCCGTGTAAAATTGGAAGTGTCTTGGCGATGTTTCGACAAAGTCCCATTCGTCGTCTTCAGGCTGGTGTTTTCGGCTTCGTGCTTCTAGGATTTGCTCCTAGAAGCACAAAGCCGAAAACACCAGCCTGAAGATGACGAATGGGACTTCGTGAAAACGTCGCCAAGACACTTCCAATTTATGCGGGAGAAAACCCGAATAACCAAAGATCTACATACAAACACCCGCGAAAACCTCAGACAACACACACACACATATATAATTTTTATTAAACATTTTAAGGACAATAACAGGAATGAATATAAACTTAAATAGAACTGTGAAAACAGGGAGAAAAGGAGAGACAACAGAAAAAGTTAAAAGTACAATAAGAAAAAAGGAGAAAAAAGATAGATATACCAGGTAGTCCTTGACTTATAACAATTTGCCTGGCTGAGGAATTCTGGGAGTTGAAGTCCACAAGACATAAAAGGGCCAAGTTTGAAGTCCCCTGATGTAGGGCAACTTGGTGGAAGTAGAATGGCTAAGCAGAGGTAGGTTGAAGGATGAGTCTTCAGCCTTGGCCATCTCACGACTTGTGAACTTCAACTCCCAGAATTCCTCAGCCAGCATGCCTGGATGAGGAATTCTGGGAGTTGAAGTCCACAAGTCATAAAAGGGCCCAGTTTGAAGACCTCCTGCTATAAAAATTACACCAGGATTCTCCTCTCTGTTTGCTGCAGCCTCCTCCCTTGTGAGTCTTTACAGGTTGTGTGTTTGCATGTGAGTGTGCAATGCAACAGATGCAAATTGCAGTCGTTTAAAATGCAGAGCAGTTTGATCCACCCTACATGAGCCCTCCCCCAGGATCACCCGGTTGACGTGGTGGCCCTAGAAATGGAAGAAATAAAAAAATAAAACAAGGCTTTGCAGACTTTTTGTGCATTTGTTTCCTTTTTTTCCAAAATTGCAAACAGACAATCCTCAACATGTGACAGTAATGGAGCCCTGGCCATGACGGTTGTGTGTCGTGACGGTCATAAATTTGGTCGGTCACATGACCGACCGGATTTTATGACGTGAGATTATGAAGCGAACATGGCAGTCGAAAAATGAAGGCTGCCGTCATTAAAGCAAACCCGTTGTTTGCTACGGTGCCCTTTTATTTATTTATTAAATTCATGTGCCTCCCATGACTTTTTTTGGGGGGGTCAGTTTTGCCAAAAACTGGAAGTTATGGAAACTGTAAATGGAGCCATGTTGCCGAGCACTTGAAATGCAGTCACGTGACTGCGAGAAAAATGGTTGGCAACTTTAAACAGTTTCTAAAAGGGCAGTCGTATGTGGAGGACTATCTGTATATTATTGTATAATACAGTCCTTACTAACACTGTGGCCATTAAATAAAACATCATATTAACATGCTGACTTAGGATAACAGTTCAGCGATAGATAGATAGGTAGGTAGGTAGGTAGGTAGGTAGGTAGGTAGGTAGGTAGGTAGGTAGGTAGGTAGATAGGTAGATAGATAGATATGAATTCATAGCTTGATAGATGATGATGACAGGTAGGTAGGTAGGTAGGTAGGTAGGTAGATAGATAGATAGATAGATAGATAGATAGATAGATAGATAGATAGATAGATAGATAGATAGATAGAACAGATGATATAGATGACAAAGATGATAGCTACATGACAGGTATGATAGAGATAAATTAGATGATATAGATTACATGATAGAAATAGATGAAAGATATAGAGGTAGAAAGAGATAGATAGATAGATAGATAGATAGATAGATAGATAGATAGATAGATAGATAGATAGATAGATAGATAGAACAGATGATATAGATGACAGAAAGATGATAGCTACATGACAGGTATGATAGAGATAAATTAGATGATATAGATTACATGATAATAATAGATGAAATGATACAGGTAGAAAGATAGATAGATAGATAGATTAGGTAGGTAGGTAGACAGACAGACAGATAGATAGAGGTAGGTAGGTAGGTAGGTAGAAGCTGGAAGGGACCTTGGAGGTCTTCTAGTCCAGTCCCTTGCTCAAGCAGGAGAACTTATACCATTTCAGACAAGTGTCTATATAGCTAGATGATAGATGATAGAGATAGCTATATATGATAGATGACAGATAGATGATAGCTAGCTGACAGACATGATAGTGATAAATTAGATGATATAGATTAGATAGATGATAGAAATAAATGATAGAGATAGATAGATAGATAGATAGATAGATAGATAGATAGATAGATAGATAGATAGATATGACAGACAGACAGACATGATGGATAATAAAGACAGATAGACGGACGGATGGACAGATAAGCTATCTAAATTTTGGACCAAACCTTATTTTCGGCCTCTTCCACCAGAGGGAAGCCGTGACCATTTTTCTCCAGGCTGTTTTCCTAGTTCTTATTGATGATTTCAGCTTTTTTTGGGGGGGGGGGATCCCGGCTTTGTTCTCGGTCCTGCTGGCAAGGGACACCGGACAGACGCTGCCGTTTCAGCAGGGCAGGCCGAGCAACAACGACGGTTGTGTGACCCCCGCAACTGAGGTTGACACAGCCCACATTTGTAATGGTTTTTTCATAGATTTTGTTGTTTTCAATGTGATGAGTTTTACAGTTTGATTACATTTTTTACCTGGTTTCTAGTTTTGATTTTCAGCTGCCCGGAGTTCGGCGGTAAGACGGGTTGCTCCCTAAATGTTTAAAATGAAACAACGCAACACGAAACTACGTTTTAAAACCAATGGCTGGGATGCCTCAAGCGATTGCCCGATGTTTTTTGGGTTTTTTTTGCATATAGCAGTCGGTATCTTGTGATGACCGTAGTTTCATTTCTGGTTTCATTTCATGAGCCTTAACACAGAGCCATCTGCGGAGAAGGGTCAAAAAAGTCAAGATGGCAGCTAATTTTTGCACTAAATCCTAAGCAGTGTTTCTCAACCTTGACAATTTTAAGGCATGTGGACTTCAACTCCCAGAATTCCACAGCCAGCATCGCCTTAAAATTGTCAAGGTTGAGAAACACTGGGCTAAGAGTCTCCTGAACGGTAAGAAAAGCGGCAAAAAAAATTGATAAATAAAACAAAGATGGCCTGCTTGGGCCTTTGCCTTAAGGCAGGGTTTCCCAACCTTGGCGACTTTAAGTTGCACGGACTTCAATTCTTGAATTCCACATCTAGCATGTGTGAACTTCAAGTCCCAGAATTCCCCAGCCAGCGTGAGTGGACTTCAAGTCCCAGAATTCCCCAGCCAGCATGAGTGGACTTCAAGTCCCAGAATTCCCCAGCCAGCGTGAGTGGACTTCAAGTCCCAGAATTCCCCAGCCAGCATGAGTGGACTTCAAGTCCCAGAATTCCCCAGCCAGCGTGAGTGGACTTCAAGTCCCAGAATTCCCCAGCAAGCTTGGGTGGACTTCAAGTCCCAGAATTCCCCAGCCAGCGTGAGTGGACTTCAACTCCCAGAATTCCCCAGCCTGCGCGAGTGGACTTCAACTCCCAGAATTCCCTAGCCAGCATGAGTGGACTTCAACTCCCAGAATCCCCTAGGCAGCATGGGTGGATTTCAACTCCCAGAATTCCCCAGCCAGCATAAGTGGATTTCAACTCCCAGAATTCCCCAGCCAGCGTCGATGGACTTCCACTCCCAGAATTCCCCAGCCAGCGTCGATGGACTTCAACACCCAGAATTCCCCAGCCAGCATGGGTGGATTTCAACTCCCAGAAGTCCCCAGCCAGCATGCTGGCTGAGGAATTCTGGGAGATGAAGTCCACCCACCTTCAAGCTGAGAAATCCTACCTTAGGCTATCCCACTTGGGGGACCACAATGACCAACTTGGAAATATATTCAGAAAAATGCCTCCTCCTCCTCCTCCTCCTCCTCCTCCTCCTCCTCCTCCTCCTCCTCCTCCTCCTCGCCTGGATGCAGTGGCCAAGGAGGGGCAAGACCTGGCTTGGCTACTGCAGAAGAGAAAGGCGTTCTCGACAAGCTGCCATCCCCTCCCAGTGCAATGCAGAAATCACGTTTCCCAAGGGGTGGGAAACATTTTGTTCTTGACTTCACAAATTGAAACTGCAAGTTGTGCCAAGCAGGTTGTCTCCCCAAGGCGCTGGGGGCAGAAGGGGGGTGCAGCTCCTCTCCTCCCCTCCTGCTTCCCCCTACTTCCCCTCCCCCCCTCCTCCTCCTGCTCTCCCTCCCTCCCTCCCCCCCTTCTCCTTCACTTCACATTTCCATCTCCTTCTAGCACTGATGATGTTCCCTAGTTGGGTAGTGAAAGGTCTGCAAGAAAACAACAAAGTTCAGACAGCACCAAGGATCCCACAGTCGTTGTCCCCCTCCTCCTCCTCCTCCTGCCTGCAAACCCCGCTCCCTTCCATCATTGATGATATTACCTAGTTGGGTCGTGAAATGCCTCCAAGAAAACTACCAATCGCAGAGACTCCGTCATTTCTCAGGCTGCAGATTGAGCCCAATCACCTGCTAATCAAATGGGGTGTATTTTGCCTTCGTTACCCTAACCCTAACCCTAATCCTCGTCCTCCTCCTCCTCCTCCTCCTCCTCCTGTTCTTCCTCCTCCTCCTCCCCTTTCTAGCACTGATGATGTTCCCTAGTTGGGTCATGAAATGTCTGCAAGAAAACCACCCAGCTCAGAGTGCACCAAGGATCCCACAGTTGTTGTTGTTGTTGTTGTTCTTCTTCTTCTTCTTCTTCTTCTTCTCCTCCTCCTCCTCCTCCTCCTCCTCCTCCTCCTCCTCCTCCTCCTCCTCCTCTTCTTCTTCTTCCACAGTTCTTCTTCTTCTTGTCCTTCTCCTCCTCCTCCTCTCCATAAACACCCCTCCCTTCTAGCACTCATGATGTTCCCTAGTTGGGTCATGAACTGTCTGCAAGAAAACAATGAAGCTCAGAGTGCACCAAGGATCCCACAGTCCTCCTCCTCCTCCTCCTCCTCCTCCTCCTCCTCCTCCTCCTCCTCCTCCTCCTCCTCTTCTTCTTCTTCTTCTTCTTCTTCTCCTCCTCCTCCTCCTCCACAGTTCTCCTCCTCC